CTGTTAGCACTGATCAAGTACAACTCGCGTAACTAATCGGAAAAGAAATAGAAAGACCACAATTTCTTACTCAAACGGCTAGTAAGAATCAGAAAACATGAAATTTTCCAAAAATGACGGCAATTTCATTTTCTGCAAAATGTACGTATGTCAGAAGGGTGGACTTATATGTCTGATCAATTGTTGCTTTAAGAAGATAGCAACAATAAATGTTCCTATTGACCTGCTTTCCGACTGATGTCGTACTGTTCACTATTTATATTAAATGTAGGTAGACATCAGTGGTCATTTAAAGTTTAATAGGGGTATATTACGTATTGTTCGCTTATTTATTTTTTATAACCGAACGTTTAAACATTAAACAAATTTGTGGTATTCAGACAGGCCACCTATAACTGCTTGCTAATTTGTTCATTCTTCTTTGGGATATTCAATGATCTCTAGCTGGAACAGTCGCTAGCTTGATTTTACGGGATTTTGGGGGGAAATAATGATTTTTGTGTTCGTTTTGAAAATAATTACATTGTGTAATGATTGGTATTCCGAAAGGGACTAACTGCGACCCTGTATGCTCGAATATTTGAACCAACTCTTACTGTAACAAATATAAACAATGATTGTTGTCATGAAATGAGAATCTCTATTTTCATATCAAAATGTATAACAAATAGACTAGTTTAACTTTTCTATATAAAAATAAGGAGATGTGGTATGATTGCCAATGAGACAACTATCAACCAAATTTCAAATGAAGTGGATGTAAGCAATTATAGGCAACCCTACGGCCTTCAACAAAGAGAAAAACCCCATACCATATAGCCGTATATGTTATTTCAATTAATTGGTGATGATGTTCCTATCGGTTCTTTCTTATGTAATTTACATTTTTCTGTTGATTTTATTCTTGAGTCTTTGTACTTTGTCATGTTAAGAATCGTGAAGGGCAGATTTGAGTCTTAGCGTTTTGCCATGTTAAGAATCGTGAAGGACAGATTTGAGTCTTAGCGTTTTGCCATGTTAAGAATCGTGAAGGACAGATTTGAGTCTTAGCGTTTTGCCATGTTAAAAATCGTGAAGGACAGATTTGAGTCTTAGTGTTTTGCCATGTTAAGAATCGTGAAAGTCAGATTTGAGTCTTAGCGTTTTGCCATGTTAAGAATCGTTAAAGGCAGACTTGAGTCTGAGCGTTTTGCCTTGTTAAGAATCGTGAAGGACAGATTAATTATTGTCTTAGTGTTTTGCAATGTTAAGAATCGTGACGAATAGATTAATTATTGTCTTAGTGTTTTACCATGTTAAGAATCGTGAAGGGCAGATTTGAGTCTAAGCGTTTTGCCATGTTAAGAATCGTGAAGGGCAGACTTGAGTCTTAGCGTTTTGCCATGTTAAGAATCGTGAAGGGCAGACTTGAGTCTTAGCGTTTTGCCATGTTAAGAATCGTGAAGGGCAGACTTGAGTCTTAGCGTTTTGCCATGTTAAGAATCGTGAAGGACAGATTAATCGTTGTATTAGTGTTTTGCCATGTTAAGAATCGTGAAGGGCAGATTTGAGTCTTAGCGTTTTGCCATGTAAAGAATTGTGAAGGGCAGACTTGATTCTTAGCGTTTTGCCATGTTAAAAATCGTGAAGGACAGATTAACTATTGTCTTAGTGTTTTGCCATGTTAAGTATCGTGAAGGACAGATTAATTATTGTCTTAATGTTTTTGCCATGTTAAGAACCGTGAAGGGCAGATTTGAGTCTTAGCGTTTTGCCATGTTAAGAATCGTGAAGGGAAGACTTTGAGTCTTAGCGTTTTGCCATGTAAAGAATCGTGAAGGGCAGACTTGAGTCTTAGCGTTTTGCCATGTTAAGAATCGCGAAGGGCAGACTTGAGTCTTAGCGTTTTGCCATGTTAAGAATCGTGAAGGACAGATTAATCGTTGTCTTAGTGTTTTGCCATGTTAAGAATCGTGAAAGGCAGATTTGAGTCTTAGCGTTTTGCCATGTTAAGAATCGTGAAGGGCAGACTTGAGTGTTAGCGTTTTGCCAAGTTAAGAATCGTGAACGACAGATTAATTATTGTCTTAGTGTTTTGCCATGTTAAGAATCGCGAAGGACAAATTAATTAGTCTTAGTGTTTTGCCATGTTAAGAATAGTGAAGGACAGATTAATTATTGTCTTAGTGTTTAGCCATGTTAAGAATCGTGAAGGACAGATTCCAGTCTTAGCTTTTTGCCATGTTAAGAACCGTGAAGGGCAGACTTGAGTCTTAGCGTTTTGCCATGTCAAGAATCGTGAAGGACAGATTAATCGTTGTCTTAGTGTTTTGCCATGTTAAGAATCGTGAAGGGCAGATTTGAGTCTTAGCGTTTTGCCATGTTAAGAATCGTGAAGGGCAGACTTGAGTCTTAGCGTTTTGCCATGTTAAGAATCGTGAAGGACAGATTAATTATTGTCTTAGTGTTTTGCCATGTTAAGAATCGTGAAGGGCAGATTTGAGTATTAGCGTTTTGCCATGTTAAAAATCATGAAGGGCAGACTTGAGTCTTAGCGTTTTACCATGTTAAGAATCGTGAAGGGCAGACTTGAGTCTTAGTGTTTTGCCATAATAAGAATTGTAAAGGACAGATTAATCGTTGTCTTAGTGTTTTGCAATTTTAAGAATCGTGAAGGGCAGATTTGAGTCTTAGCGTTTTGCCATGTTAAGAATCGTGAAGGGCAGACTTGAGTCTTAGCGTTTTGCCATGTTAAGAATCGTGAAGGACAGATTAATTATTGTCTTAGTGTTTTGCCATGTTAAGAATCGTGAAGGGCAGACTTGAGTCTTAGCGTTTTGCCATGTTAAGAATCGTGAAGGACAGATTAATTATTGTCTTAGTGTTTTGCCATGTTAAGAATCGTGAAGGGCAGATTTGAGTCTTAGCGTTTTACCATGTTAAAAATCATGAAGGGCAGACTTGAGTCTTAGCGTTTTGCCATGTTAAGAATCGTGAAGGGCAGACTTGAGTCTTAGTCTTTTGCCATGTTAAGAATTGTAAAGGACAGATTAATCGTTGTCTTAGTGTTTTGGCATCTTAAGAATCGTGAAGGGCAGATTTGAGTCTTAGCGTTTTGCCATGTTAAGAATCGTGAAGGACAGATTTGAGTCTTAGCGTTTTGCCATGTTAAGAACCGTGAAGGACAGATTTGAGTCTTAGCGTTTTGCCTTGTTAAAAATCGCGAAGGACAGATTTGAGTTTTAGTGTTTTGCCATGTTAAGAATCGTGAAGGGCACATTTGAGTCTTAGCGTTTTGTCATGTTAAGAATGGTGAAAGGCAGATTTGAGTCTTAGCGTTTTGCCATGTTAAGAATCGTGAAGGACAGATTTGAGTCTTAGCGTTTTGCCTTGTTAAGAATTGTGAAGGACAGATTAATTATTGTCTTAGTGTTTTGCAATGTTAAGAATCGTGAAGGACTGATTTATTATTGTCTTAGTGTTTTACCATGTTAAGAATCGTGAAGGGCAGATTTGAGTCTTAGCGTTTTGCCATGTTAAGAATCGTGAAGGGCAGATTTGAGTCTTAGCGTTTTGCCATGTTAAGAATCGTGAAGGGCAGACTTGAGTCTTAGCGTTTTGCCATGTTAAGAATCGTGAAGGGCAGACTTGAGTCTTAGTGTTTTGACATGTTAAGAATCGTGAAGGACAGATTAATCGTTGTCTTAGTGTTTTGCCATGTTAAGAATCGTGAAGGGCAGATTTGAGTCTTAGCGTTTTGCCATGTTAAGAATTGTGAAGGGCAGACTTGATTCTTAGCGTTTTGCCATGTTAAGAATCGTGAAGGACAGATTAATTATTGTCTTAGTGTTTTGCCATGTTAAGAATTGTAAAGGACAGATTAATTATTGTCTTAGTGTTTTGCCATGTTAAGAATCGTGAAGGACAGATTAATTATTGTCTTAGTGTTTATGCCATGTTAAGAACCGTGAAGGGCAGATTTGAGTCTTAGCGTTTTGCCATGTTAAGAATCGCGAAGGGAAGACTTTGAGTCTTAGCGTTTTGCCATGTTAAGAATCGTTAAGGGCAGACTTGAGTCTTAGCGTTTTGCCATGTTAAGAATCGTGAAGGACAGATTAATCGTTGTCTTAGTGTTTTGCCATGTTAAGAATCGCGAAGGACAGATTAATTATTGTCTTAGTGTTTAGCCATGTTAAGAATCGTGAAGGGCAGATTTGAGTCTTAGCGTTTTGTCATGTTAAGAACCGTGAAGGGCAGACTTGAGTCTTAGCGTTTTGCCATGTTAAGAACCGTGAAGGACAGATTAATCGTTGTCTTAGTGTTTTGCCATGTTAAGAATCGTGAAGGGCAGACTTGAGTCTTAGCGTTTTGCCATGTTAAGAATCGTGAAGGACAGATTAATCGTTGTCTTAGTGTTTCGCCATGTTAAGAATTGTGAAGGGCAGACTTGAGTCTTAGTGTTTTGCCATGTTAAGAATTGTAAAGGACAGATTAATCGTTGTCTTTGTGTTTTGCCATCTTAAGCATCGTGAAGGGCAGATTTGAGTCTTAGCGTTTTGCAATGTTAAGAATCGTGAAGGGCAGACTTGAGTCTTAGCGTTTTGCCATGTTAAGAATCGTGAAGGACAGATTAATCGTTGTCTTAGTGTTTTGCCATGTTAAGAATCGTGAAGGGCAGATTTATCGTTGTCTTTATTGGATTAATTCACATGCAGCTGGTCTAGATGGGTTGGGTTTTGGAGCTTAGTCAGACAGTCTATTGTTTAAGACTTTTAGACTAGATGTCTGTTGTGGGTTTTGTTTTGTTGGGTTGCTATCTTACTGACGATAAACCCCATATATCATTTAATTCATACTAAACCCCGCCACATGCATTTTCGTGTTCCACTTCCATGTCAGTGGTTGTCTCAATACCGGTATTTCGTCCCTTACAGAATTTAGTTTTGTCATATTTGTTTGTTCTTCACATCTTGCCATGATCATGACTTGGGCGATTTAATCATTTTTCAAAATTGCAAACAGATATTTAAAACAGTTTATTATATGTTAGATTGATTCGTTGAACAGCCGTTATCCGTCCGCAGACGTTTCCTGGTTTTTAAGTTTTTCCTTCTCCTCGATGTTGATTTCTTGTTCTGTAGGTCTATCTGGTGACTGTTCCCTGGCCAGTTTTATTTGTAATACTATATATAGCAGCATCGATATAATCATTAAAGCAATACAAATGACGAGTTTTGTAAAGACACAAAGATAGCTTGCTGTTCCAAAATAGATCGCACTACTGAAAGCTCCCCAAAAATGAACATTGGCGAAAGCTGGTTCCTTCTTCGTAGAAAACAATACTGGTATAATGCCTGCCAATAATAAACCATTAACTTTCTGAAAAATCTTAATTAATTGATAGAAAATAACGGATATTCACGAGAAAAAAAAATCAAAAGAGATATAAGTATTTGGAAAAAAAACTAATTATTATATGTGTTTAAAACCCCAAGGATGTCATTGACTTGGTATATAAATATGGTCGCTTTGGTCTTCTACAAGTCGCCAGTAAAACCTTTCCAAAGAGGGGCGTCCGTTTTGCTGTACGGGATGTTTCAAATCACGTGGTCAGAATGGGAACGTTACATATTATGTCTTGGATAGAGAGAGTGCCACGCTTGTTGCACGTAAAGAACATCAGCAACGACTCTATAGGGGTCGGTAGGGCCCGATTCAAGGCCCTCCATCTAAATAATCGTATACAGTTTTCAAATTGTAAGAAAAATCCTACAAACGATTGAAAAAATCGTATAGGATTTTCTTTTTTGTACCACGCAAACGATCTTTTAAATTGTACAAAATAATACAAAATTGGCAAAAGACTTACAAAATCGTACTTACCGCTATACATTGAACAAACAAATTATAAAATTGTGCAAACGAAGATTCAAATTGTATACGTACAAACGATTACATATATCTGATAAAACTTTTTAAGAAATCCTAACATTTTTAGAATGGACAAATACATAAATTAAAAAATCATACAAACGATTTTTGTTTTAAATTGTACAACAAATTAACAAATAGTACATTCGGTTTTGTAAATCGTACATTCGGATTTGTAAATCGTACACACGATTTTACAAATTGTACAAACGGTTTTTGAAACCATGCAAGCGATTTCTTTAATAGTACAAACGATTGAAAAATCGTATAAAAGATTAAATAACTTGGCATTTGAAAATGGCACGAATACTCTGCCGTATGAAATTAGGCTTGAACACTGTAATACGATCTTTGAATATTGTGTTATATCGGTACTTACATTGGTTTTGTTATTAATAAATCAAATTGAAACATAACGTAATATGTATCCCTATACAGTTGAACACTTATGGTCTTTCATCCTGTCGATACTTATATTTTGGAATTTACAAAGTGATATTTATCTCCGACCGTTATATGACGTCTTTACACTTAATCAATTGAATGTGTAGTGACTGTTAGCCTTAGTCTTGGAAACTTTATTTATTGTTTAGTTTTTAGTGGCTTTGCACTAGCTTACATATAGTTTCGGATACTGGATGCCAGTTATTGTCACAAACCTATCATGTCTGTTTGGGTTACTCGCCCAATTTTGTCAATACAATGGAACTATAAATAACTGTCATACAAGTGGGATGTTAAAATAGCTATAAAACCAGGTTTAATCCATCATTTTCTTCGATAACATGTCTGTAACAAGTTAGTAATATGACAGTGGTTTTCCACTCGCTCCGTTGGTTTATAACAGGGGCGGATTCAGGCGGGGTGTGGCGGGCGTGGCGGGCGTGCCCCCCCCCCCCCCCCTAAAATTTGCAAAGCATGGGTTGTCCTCAGCTTAATAAAGAATATTTCGATAATTTTACCTCAAAAAAATTTGCGCACCCCCCTCCCTAACCTAAAATCCTCGATCCGCCCCTGCATAACATTTGATTTTGTCAGTTTTTATGGACACCCCCTTTTTGAATTTTTCTTGGAGTTCGGTATTTTTGTTATACTATTTTTTAATGATTGAGAGTACCCTAAGATCGGTATACTTTGTGTCTTCAGTCTTTTTGTAAGAGGGTTGTACATACATACGGCTATTGGTTTTCTCGTTTGAATTGTCTTGCATTTTATCATGTCAGGACCGTTTATAGCTGACTATATGGTATGAATTTTGCTGTACGGTATTATAGTTGCTTACATCTATGTCATTTGGTCTCTAGCGGATTGTTTTCTCATTGGCAATGATACACATCTTTCTATTTTTATATTGACAAACTGAATATTCTTATGGGCAACGACTAAAGATAGGAGAAATTTATTATGTTCGTCGATTTGTAAAACATTTGTCGGGTAAATGTTTCAACTAGTAATTTTTTATTCTTTTGATCAATTCGAGACAGAGTGATGATTTACCTCCAAATGCTTATTGCCAGTACATTTATGAAAACAACTTTGCCCTATCTTTTTTTATCAATATCAAAAGGGCGTTACGTAAAAGTAAATCGAACTTTCAATGGTATAACTTACCAAATATTTCAAGTTTCCATATTGCGTCTGTCACTCCCCATAAAATGACTGAAACAAATACTAAAGGAAGGTGATCTGCTGTTGGGTTCCAAAATAACCAAAACGTCATTTCCGCTAGATTAACAATGGCTGCGAATGCTACTAGAATTTGGCGTTTGATCAACTTTGCTATTCCTTGTAAAATTTGTAGCATAATTGTATTTGTTAATGCATAACTCGCCATGACTAATCCTACCCATCCAATACTGAATGGACATGTAATGTACGCCTATAAAAAATGTACATACAATTAAACGGTGGCCTTTAATTACTTACATCCAATTCATTTCAATCTGGTGAATAGTTGTCTCATTGGCAATCATACCACATCTCCTTATTTTTAAAAACAACTATGCAACAAAAGTGAATGTGGGGCATACTCCTGTAACAAAGGGGAATACATAAACTACTTCTGTATATGTATACTGACGGACTTTAAAAACGTAACACTAGATTTTATTTTTTTTTCAATTTTCATTTTCAAATATGCAATACTTGTACAATACATGTATAAATATAAATTTCATTCATTACTAGCGGTTCAAAAATTGAATTAATTACTAGTACGTCACGTTTAATGTTCAAATCATGCACTTTAACACTGGTTTTCCCCTTATTAATGGGTGTGTCCGACATCGAAGGCAAGAACTGCATGACGTGACCAAAGCCTAAATAATTGATAGAAAAGTAGACTAGTTCTGTTTTGAGTTCAGCTTCGTCCCTTCCTATTATGCATATCTCGCCCGTTGTAGTCTGTTTTGGCAATTATGCGGTTCAAACTGTAAACCTTAAAATGGTTTTCTGCAATGAATTTGGCTGAATTTCAGTATATGGGTATATGTCATATTTTTGGCGCGAACATGTCTGCCATGATATCCGTCGATATGATTAGCAGTTGACGTTGCAGTCGTAAATCTATCTCACGAATGGCGTTAATTGTATTGACGTGGTGTTGTAGCTGATGATTGACCTGGGCTTGTGTGGTCATTTACAAATCCCTTCTGGCTGAACCGTTGTTGTAATGTTGTTGTAGGGACTAAAGGGGGAATTTCTGGCGTGAAATTGACTAACAACAGCACGTTGACTTTTTTTTTGCCATTGCCTGCAACATTCTTGATCCAAACTTTCATTGCCCAGTCCCGAAAAAATGGAAGCGAAACAATGTTTTACTGATTTAAGTGTGAGTATGGTTTTCCGAAGAAGAAAATAAAAATCATGCATGTTTTTTTAAAATCTTGCGTCAATAAAATTCGTTCCACGTCAATAATCCGAAATATCCAATTATCTACGGTAAGTCAGGTATTGAATTTTTGTAATAAGAAAGAAGTATGGTGATCATGAATAGCAATAATATGAAGAGTAATCAGGTAATCATAATTTGATAATAAAACAAAAATCAACAAAATGTGTATTGCGTTTTTAAAGTCTATGAGTATATAACAAAGGGACTATGTAGCATACGTGTGTACAAAAAACTTACATTAGACGAATATCTGCAACAGAAAGGACGATGTAACACGCTCTCGTGGACATGATACAAACGCCTATAACAGAAAAAAAAGACCATGCTTCTTACCCTTCCGGAGCACATGGGAATATCCCCGGTTTAATATGGGGTTCGTGTTACTCAAGACTTTAGTTTTCTATGTTGTGATTTGTAGACTGGTGTTTGCCTTTTGGTCGTTTTTCGATTTTGCCATGGCATCATACCTGCCAACTTTTCAAAATCTCCATGGGGGATTTTAAGCGCAAGAGGACCTAATGCTCCTCTTATATTGTCATAAGTGCTTTTAATCCACTTCTATATTGTTTGGATGAGTATGTATGTGCTTAAATACCCTTTTAACTCATTTGAATGCCTGTTTTGAGGTGTTCAGTTTGTATAATAAAGAATTTCAAAATTCAGGTCAACACCTCTCATGGGGGATATCCCCCATAAATCGGGATAGTTGGCAGGTCTGTGGCATTGTCAGTTTGTCTTTGATTTGTGAGTTTGAATATTCCTTTGGTATCTTCCGCCTCACTTGTAGAGTTGGTTCGGGTAATTCCGTACACTTTTGGTCCGAAATGAATCTCATTTGGTTCCCTGTTTGATACTACAATATTTTAGAAGGAAACCGGTAACTAGATCATTCGTAGATAGTATTAATGTTTGACTTTTTCCTTGCCATTCAAGGTAAAATACCGAGAATGAGCATATCGAACAGAAGTCACTGTGGCTAATATCGTACGGATGTCATGTATTTCCGTACACCTTGAAGTGTAATTCCGTACATTGATTAAATTCAAAATAGGATTGCTATTTGGAAATAACTTGGACTTGTAAATTTATTACCAGGATCATCTTCAAGTCTTTCAATCAGTTTACTTAAATTCACAGTATCACAGCTTCATGTCGTGATGTAGATTCTGGCAGTATATTTGATCACAGAATACAACATTTTAACTGCTATTTTGATTATATATTGGCAACATTGAGTATAGATGCAAAAATTGCAAAAGAAGGACCAAAAGGCAAGTGTCCTAAGATTTGTGTTTGTATTAAAGCTTCAATAAATTATTAGTACGAATTTAGATATGATTATGACGGACTTGTGTTTCAGACAGAAACGTTACACACACACACACACACAGTAACGTTTAGTTGCAAATAATACATGGACATCAGGATGAGAACTTGACGGTATATGTAATATGCATGACTTAAGTTTGATAAGCGATATGAATATAGACCCTGATTGTATTATATAGACAGATACCTTCATCCGGTTTTATCGTCCTAGTTCAGTCTGAAGAAAGACATGTCAATCTATTCAGAAAAGAATTCTAACTCTGAGCAAACCGGTCTTTACAATCAAGTCCCGCATTGTAAGCTGAGAGGCTGCAGCAGTTTTTACTAATTCTAAGTCGGTTGGTCTTCCTGAATTAAAGCATCATCTTCAACTGTTCCAGCAGCTTTTCGTGGAACATTTTCTTAATAACGTCTATATTTAACATCTTTCATAGCTGTTTGCCAACTTTTTGTGGTAGAGCTTTTTATGTTTTATTTTTCGGGAGGAAAACTGACAATCCTAGTCAACTAATATTCGAACACACTTACCAAGCATGTGCGGGGTTTGAAGTCACAACCTTAGTGTTGACTGGCTAGCGATATATGAGGTGACTGACTACTTAGACCACTGAGGCACAGAGGACCCTCGCAATTAAGGAGGAATGGTTTACAAACACGTCAACGTCTATCTCTATAAATCAATAGGCAGCGGACTGGTGGTTCATAGAATCAAAATTAACATATTTTTACCTCTTTCTTCTCATATCGAATTGATGTTGTTTTATGCATTTTTTTCTGTTTATTTTATTTTGCAATTAATTTGATTATTTAACAAAAATCATTGATATAAGCAAAGCTAAGTCAAAATTTATATCACTTAATGAACATTAACATATTTAAGAGATGACGTGTACGGTATTAGACTCCTTCAATTTGTATTTAAAATATCCTGTAGGGAATACCGTACACCCACTTCCAGTCCGTTTTATTGGAAATTATTGCACTTATACTTCACGGAAAAGTATCTGTCAATTCAAAACTATTTCTGGCATTCAGTTTCCATCAGTTTTCTAAATTTCGATTAAAATAAAAAGTTCTTACTTTAAATTAACAAAACTTAAAATTTACACAAATGTGTTGACTTTTTGGGCGAGATCATCTTCTCAAAACGCCAGCGAACAAAACTTTCCAACAAACAGCACATGTGTACATATTCTATGATAGAAAATCGTAAACACGTGAACATACAAGGTTATACATATCTTATTATCAGAAAATAATATTAAAACCCACTTTATTTCTCAATTTTATCAGAAAAACAAGCAAAATGTAATATGTGCGGTAATTACCCGCCTGTACGAAATTACCCGGATTGACTCTACACCAAAAATAAAAGTACAACTGTAACAAGAAACATAGCTCCTCCCCTAGGCGATAACCCTTACTCTTTCAGATCAATAATCTTAAGTAATCCGAAAAAACAATTCAGATCATCCCCAATCTAAACAATATATACTTTGATTCCTTCTAAGTTGATACAATGAATGAAATATACTCATTCCCCAAAGGGACCCACACATTTATAATCTTTAGTTATCCGAAAAACTGTTTATAAACTACATTTACATCCCGGAAACATATATATTATGATATATGATGCATTTAGTGTAACATATACCCTTTACGGGGGTTGGGGGTCATCCTATCCCTCTTCAATCAATTATCTTCAATGAATTTAAAACCAGTTGATATTATATCACCTAAAACGTATATATATATATATATTTCTATTCCCCGTGCACTTAAGTGTGCACTAGCACAATTTAATGATCATATCTCGTAATACATGCAATACTTACTTTTGTAAAATCCGCATATAAAACAAAGCGTTGTACATTAACCATAACAGTTAAGGGTAGAAATAAAACCAATTTAACGTTCGATAATGATGAACACATGGAATACACAGATTTTAAAGCACTTTTCTTTTTTATCCATTCACTCACTGGTAATGTAGGTAATAATAATACTGCTATGACAACACCAATAATGTCAAATGCTAGGTAAACACTGAAAAGTTGATGAAGTAACTGAGGCGATGGTCTAGTTACACTTATAAAAGATATATTAGACGTGATTGGTTGAGTGTAGCTGTCGCATTCTAAAGTGCCACAATATTTGGTAACGTTTCCGGATGCTAAGGTTGTATCTGTATGAAAAATTAAAGAAGAAACGACACTTCCAATGGCGAAAGCCATTCCTTGAATAGAGAAAAAAATTCCGTTATGTCGATTCAGAACATCTTTTAAGTTTTTATTACTTTTCACTGCAATTCTGGTAGCACTAGCAGTGATAAACAAATTTTGCGCAGTCCATAATGGACCTGTAGCTAATCCTAAAAGTACTGATGTAGGAATCAAAGTGTAAAACCGTGGATAGTAGTTACTCATTACATAAACAGAATGGCAAGAAAACGCTGCAACCACTGTAATTTTTCCACCAAGAACTTTAATACAGAACGGTGCAAGTAGTGACGACACTATGCTAGCACTGTATAAACATGCTAGTGACTTCACTCCTAGTCCTGCTTCCATGTTCAAGCTATTCTGTAACGCCTGGATCGACATGAAGGCCGAAAACACGAAGAAAAAGGCGATGGATAGAACTATAGTTGATTGTAAGGGGCTTTCTATCTTGTCCGATTTATCGCCGCCACGTAACGCACAATATATTTTCATGCTGAAATTTGTCATTTTCTCTACTTACAATCAATGGTCAGGTAGTCCACTTTTAAAGTAAGTCAAGTAAGTATACGTCGATCATCATGTATAAACATGTGGCTGGTGTATTTCTTATCGCAGCATATTTTAAACTATGTAAGGCATGTTTAACATTCGTAAGACATAATGAATATAAATAAATGTGAAATCGATTATCCATCATCTGTGTACACATTTAGTATTCGTTTAAGTGAAACGTGTTTATAAATAGCATAAAAAAAGTTTACACCAAGGTTATAGTTCAGAATGACAGACACGGTAGTGTTGTGATAGTTTAGTCAGGTAACATGTACTGTCTAACATTTAAACTTTATCAGAATATCAAATTTAGATTAATGACTATTCGTTGTCCAGCAGCATATATTTCATGTAAAGTCAGAACGATAATTGCTAGCTCACGAGATCTGAAGAACCATTGCGGTGTCGGAATATCAAAACTACCCCGATTTTATTTTTCAGGCTTATTTAATATTCAAGAAGATTGTATTGTCTCATATTTTTGTAGCGAGGTCAATATGTCGATGAGTTTGAATATACAGCGTGTGCAATTCGAGCTCTCGTAAAACGATAATCGTAAATGCATTAACATAGTTATACGTTTATTTGTCTGTGTGAATATTTGATAATGTCTTTGTTGAATGTTTGTTAGCATTTAATGTTGCATATATATATATTTAAATATTGTTTGTCTTTGTAAAAAATATTTGGAGTTAAAACAAATACATGATTTGATTTGATTTGATTTGCATTAAAATATTAAGGCATCTATTTACTTCAACGGAAACTCAATTTCGATTGGCTCTTTTCATTTGTAAATTACCCTTGTTCAAATCCATCCAAAGGAAATACTGAAATAATAAATGTGGAAGGTGAAAAGCGCAAACTGCAAGTAAATTTCATTTTTATTGTAATGCCAATTTATGTCGAATCAATATATAAAACAATTATCCTATCTTATGTAACAACATTCGAACAACACCTACATTTTTTGGCAAATAATATATCTATACTACAGCTAGAAAATTTCTTGTCTTTATCTAACAAATATAGTAATAAAGGGATATTTCGTGTAATGTCGATTTCATGTTACAGTATAAAAACAATATTAGGTCAATGTCAGAAAAATCTAAACTTTTTTTGTATTCGACTTGAAACTGTTTTTAGTGTTCGGTAAACCTCGCCCTTTCCCAGTTTCTAAGCCCCATACAAAAAAGTGATACGTTTCTGACACTGACCTAATAGTGTATATATCTCCACGTTGATAAAATCCCACATATTGATTTTCCTATCACACTTTTAATACTTGATAGAGGGCTGATGCTTATAACAATGATTCTTTATGATTTATTAAAATTTATGTCTTTGAAATTTTCAAGGAATTTTGTTGATTGTCATGGAAGAGGGTGTGGATGGGGGTTTACAGAATAGAGAATAATGGGCACAAAATAAAATGAATAGAGAAAAATGGACCAAAAAAATAAAGAATAGAGAATAATGAGGTGCTAAAATATAAAGAATAGAGAATAATGGGCAAAATGTATAAAGAATAGAGAAAATGGCCTTAAAAGTTAAAGAATACAGAAATGAAGGACCCCATCCAGACTCTCATGGAATATCTGTGTTACAAATATTCACAAATATGATCCACTCGACGAAGTTAAAATCCCGTTCTCGTACCTCAAGGTTTGACTAGGGTACAGGAATATGGTTATCTGAGCTTCTCCTATACTACATTAACATGAAATGTCAAGAAGGGGCGTCGGTTATCTAGATACGCAGCCACGTCCAGTGGGTGACATTAAATAAACTCATCATAGATACAAGGATTAAAATTGTGTACGCCAGACGCGCAATGTAAATATGATGCTCTTGTAGTAGGGAGAATCATTGCAACAACTCTTTCAGGAGTCCGTAGTAGGCCCGTCGGAGAGCAAATGTTTGCTCTTAGGCACCGATAATTCATCTTTTGTGACTTAATGTTTGTTTTATTTTTTCAAATAAAATGTTCAATATACTAGTTTTGAAAAGATATTTGTTTTGGCAAGTGAAAAACAAATTGGTTTCTGTCTAAAACAAAACCATAAAAAAAACAACATTGATTATCTTTTAAATCTTGATCCTCAATGCATGTTAGAGAAAAAAATATTTCGATTTGGGTTTAAGCTGTGGGGCAAATTGCTAGTTCCAAGAGGAAAAAAAACATATGCATCTATTAACATTATGCGGTTTACCGTCGTATTGTAATTGCAATGAGCAAGACGATCGATTGGTGTCACTAGTTGAGCAGGAATTAATACCCTTCCAGAGTGTATGGGTTCGCCTCCACCGGGGTTTGAGGATTGGGGTTCGTGTTGCCCAATTTTTAGTTTCTGTTTGTTTTTTGTTGTGTTTTTTTTTTTTTATTTTTATTGTTGCTTGTCTAAACAATTGATACAATAATTCATCAGCAGTTGATAAATTTTATAATTACAATTTGTATTGAAATAACGATATATTTTTCACAAAATGTTACCACTGATAGTAAAAGAATTCGTATTGCATGTAGAGATACACATTTACATATTCATATAAATACGTATGGTAAATAATAGAACATATTTGTATCCATCTGATGAGTTAAGCCTTTTTCAACTGATTTTTATAGTTTGTTCTTATGTTGTACTGTTACACCACTGTCCGAGGTTAGGGGGAGGGTTGGCGCCTTCAAACTAGTTTAACCCCGCTACATTCTGTATGTGCCTGTCCCAAGTCAGGAGCCTGTAAAGTGGTTGTCGTTTGTTGCTGTGTAACATATTTGTTTTTCGTTCATTATTTTGTACATAAATTAGGCCGTTAGTTTTCTCGTTTTAATCGTTTTACATTTGTCATTTCGGGGCCTTTTATAGCTGACTATGCGGTGTGGGCTTTGCTCATTGTTGAGGGCCGTACGGTGACCTATAGTTGTTAATTTCTGTGTCATTTGGTCTCTTGTGGAGAGTTGTCTCATTGGCAATCATACCACATCTTCTTATTTTTATATATATTAAAATATTAAAACATTTTGAGTACATATTGGTTTATTTCAATTGAGATTAAAAAAAAAACAACTCATCATTCAGTTGGTTGCAAAGTTATTTTTCAAATTATTGCCAAGGTTTCTCCATTAGAATCTAACTAAGCCACAAAAGAGTGAAATTAGAGGTACTGTGAGCAAGCTCGCAAAGGTAATACCTATCCATACCAATGAGAAAGTTTTAAAAAGTCCAATTATCTCCCCTTGTAACAAAGAATTTCTTCGTACACATCTCCATTTGATAGTCTTGTGTGAAGTTTCATAGATCCATTCAGGCGTCTTTAAGTGAATGGTTTGTTACACAAATATGTACGTGGAAAACAAGTGCAAAGTACATGTACCTCTTACATATCTACATATTCTGATATTTTTTCGACATTGATTTTGCATACCAGAATTTATACAACACGTAGAGATTTTAAAACTCTAAAACTCACAGAACACATAAAGTGATATATTGCCAGCTATTAAACACACACATCAATGTAATAGAGTAACACTTTATACTGTTTTGTTTATTTTATCCAAATCATTGACCAATATTGTTGTGTGTTCTTCTTAATATGTCATGTTGTAGATATTAACATCCACTATGTAGTACATTGTATACTAAATGTAATATTTCAGATATTCTCTGTGTGCCATTACTTACAGCAATGGTGGTCATTTCAACTGTAGTGTCCGAATGAGTGGAACAATTCAGGGGCGGATTCAGGCGGGGGCGTGGCGGGCGTGCGCCCCCCTTAAATTTGCACAGCATGGGTTGTCCTCAGCTTAATAAAGAATATTTCGATAATTTTACCTCCAAAAAATTTTCGCATCGCTCCGCTCGGCGAAAATTTAAGTTTCCGCCCCTAACCTAAAATCCTGGATCCGTCCCTGCATTTTATCTGTATAGTGGATTGCAAGAACATAACTGCAGAGGAACTGGGCTACAGAAAATAGCCGTTGTTTGGCTATGGACAAAATCATGTTTTATATTCAAAAATACCATAAAAATAAAAGTTTATAGATATCATATTCCTTTGTCTTTACGAATGTTGAAAACACATTGTCTTTCTTTGGATTGACTGAAAAAAATAATAGTCTTACTTGGTTTGCATGTTTAAAAAAAATCTGGCTATCCCAGCAATGTAAATATTTATAGACAGGGGTCCTTGCAAGTCCAAAAACTACTCCAATGGAAAATGATATCTAAAAAAATGAGCGTAATATAATATTGATAACTATTTGTCTTACGATATGAAACCCCAAACTTTCATAACGGAACGAAACTTCGAAAATGTTGCGTTTTGTATACTGTTGTGTTTTGTATACTGTTGTTTGTCTTTTTGGTCCTTTTCATTTTTTGCCCTGGCGTTGTCAGTTTATTTTCGACTGAATTTGAATGTCCTTTGCTATTTTTCGCCTCTCTTTTTCGATCTGTTAGTCAACCATACGTAATAACTCCGTGTCCGTCAAGCATTGTAAAAAAAGCCCGCAATTACAATGTTCATTCAAATTTTCTATCCATGTCCGGGCACGCGCTGTAATTTCGTTAAAAGTAGATCAACCAGATGAACTGCATGCTTACATGACTTTGTACTAACTTACTAATAATTTAATTTTGGATGTAACGCGTCTTCTGATTGGCTGACGTTGTTTTGTTTATCAGCTCATAGACATAATTTTGTCATGTGACCGTGACGTCATCAACGTTTTTTCATGGTTTACTCCGGTTTAAAATGGAATTTAGAATTAAATTATAAGAAATGACTGTAATATTTTTTCTGTCTATTCGAAATAACATAAAAAATGTGGTGCACACTTTAAAATAACCCGCTACGCGGGTTATTCAGTGTGCACCACATTTTTTATGTTATTTCTTCATAGACAGAAAAAATATTACAGTCATTCCTTAAATATACTTATTCAATATGTTACTCTTCTATATACAAATCGATGATACGTCAAACTTCAGTCAACCTTCTGCAAACGCGAATAAGCGAAAACAAGGCTACTTTTTTTTAATGTTTCAATGTCCAGTTTCCCCCCTCCCCAGGACAGAATAACAAGGGCTTTAATTGTATATTTCGAACGAAAATAGACAAAAAACATTACATACGCAATCGTGGAATGGCCCTCATCAACCAAAAGTTCGGGGAGACAAATAAAAAACATTACTTAACAGAAAAGTCAAAAAAGATTGTGAGGAATTGAGATATTGTGACTTTGCTATAAATAACTGTATATGGACCGTGTCCTCAATAACCCAAATGACGCCTTTGTATAAACTGGATGTCATGAAAACAACAAGACTTGTGTGTATCGGATGGTGTATTTGTTATTTTGAAGTATTGAAGCACCGTGTGTACACTATTGAATAAAAATAACTTAAGGTTTATACTTGTTGATGTATATACAGCTAAAATTAACTAATATATAAAATCACATTTGTGTCAGCTGTTATTATCAACCTGTTGTCACATGGTTTGTAAGATCATAGATAATATTGATTATACACGTAAAATTTTTACTTGAATAATTATGTAAACCTAATTTTAGTATTGTCCACACTAACCGATGCAGTAGGTAAACGATAGGTCACTATCTCACATGTGTCATATTACAATGTCACAACGACGGAATGAAACAGAGAACCTCGAGGAGATATGTTTATGTTTTAGCGCCAAAAGAGATGACAGAAACAGCGGTCATGAAATTCGTAATACTTACATACTGTCGGCTTCATTTTTCTTTGTGTTTACTGCATACCTAGCGATACAAAATTTGCAGAGCAGTTTGAATCAGGAAGCAGGGCTAGGAGTAACGTCATTATCGTGCTTATATGGATTTATTATCATTTCTGCTGTATTGGCGCCAACTGTCTTAAAGGTTATTGGCGGGAAGTTAGCACTTGTTATCGCTTGGATACTACATATGGTCTACACTTTAAGCAACTTTTATCCAACATTCGGAACTTTAATTCCTTCGTCTATTTTACTTGGGCTTGTTTCCGGTCCTTTATGGACATCGCAAAGTATTTACATAACAAGAAATGCTTATTCTCTTTCAGACAGCACAGGTAAAGATGCACATGTGTTGCTCAGTAGACTAAACGGAATCTTCTTTACAATATATGAGTTAACACAAATCAGTGGAAATATAGTGTCGTCTGCTGTTTTATATAAAAGTGCAAGCCACAATTCCAATGCTTCATCTACGAACTGTGGTATCAATGATTGTCCTGCAATCACCGGAAATGCTACTGTATTGGACCAGCCATCTTCAGATACCGTGTACACTATGCTTGGCGTTTTTCTGGTCTTTGATGTAATTGGACTCATCTTGACTGCAACGTTTTTACCTCCGTTACCGAAGAGTCAGTGGACAGAGTCTTCTTCCATAAAAGAATCAGTGACATCATGTTTCTTTGCGTTCGCTGATATGAAGATGTTGTTATTGGTACCATTTATAGCAATAATGGCGATGGAGCAAGCCGTTCTGTGGACAGATTTTACTAAGGTATGTCTGATAAGAATGATTAACTTGATGACTATATATTAATCGATTGGTTATTGTTGTTTGTTTAACGTCCTGTTGCAAATATTTCATTCATATCATGACTTTAACAATTCAATAAGATATAATAATTATATTATATTAATAGATATAAAATTCAAAAAAAAAAGGATTTGCATAATAGGTCGACCATCTTGACTTCAACTGGATTAGAAGGTATGTTGGATATAGGGGCAGACATTTTGATTTGCAACGGGCCGTTAACACAGTTGTTTCAAAGGTTATTCAAGTTGCAGAGAGCGTGGAATTCTCCATACATAAAACATCAGATTAAATGTTCCCTATCGGACGTATTCATACATCCTGCTACTTCACGGACTCTCATCTTTAGCATGGGTTTTACTGTCGTATGTTAAAAGTGCAGCTTATTTTATGGGTCATTATTTTCAGAAATGATATATCCATATATTTTTGAACGTTGCAAATCTAATTATCACCTTGCAGTCATTGTTTGTATAATTAAAGGTTTGCAGATTCTACGAAAATCTTATGTTGTTTTACTGTTCATTTCATTACTATGAAGAAAACGTCCTTCTTTAAAAAAAAACCTTTTAATGAAATATGAAATATAAAACTGTAATTACTTAATATATGTGAGTTATTCGTGTGTCAAGTTCCAAATAATTTTTTTAGATCTGAAAGATACCAAATAATTTTCTTTTTAGAAAAGACCAGTTTTGTTCTATTAAGGAGACCAAATACGAGTCGAATGTGAAGTGAACATCTGAAATACTTTTATCAAGTGATGTCAGTATTCACGCTATCCACACTGGTATACTTACTGTATTTAGTATACGAAACATATGTGGATAGGAAATTATAAGTGGATAGTTGATATTGAAACAACTTTGGTTATGTTTAAAATGTGGTTAACATACATTGTATTAAAATGCATCAGAAAATATAGCTATTGCAAAGTCTGGTCGGTTGACGAGCCTCTCTGTCGAAACCTTAATACTCCAATGCTATACCTTACGAAATTAAAACTAAGATCAAAATAAGAACAGACTAAAAACATGGAAACATGGTTAGATATTAAGCTGAAGCGGTGCTCAATTCTACAGTTAAATAATATATTTTCCAGATTAAAGTCAATTTCGTTCGTTCGCTTTTGATATAATAAATTTGTTGTCCACATATATCTATACTAATGATATGTACCCCGATGTCATAGCTGAATTATTTAGTATTTCAGGGGAAATTGAATTGTATATCTGTCTATATATGATATACACTTTCTTGGTATCTTAAGACGTCAGCAAAATTTAATGTTTAGTTCCATAATATGTAGCTTTTGTTGATAGTTTTTTTTTTATCTGCTTACCATTTTCAGTCTTACATCAGCTGTCCAATTGGAATAAAAATGGTTGGCTTTATCATGGCGTCGTATGGAGGATCAACAACTGTGTCGGCATTGGTGACGTCACGGCTAGCTAAATACACTGGGAGACAAGTTTTGTTTGCAGTAGCAATTATTATACAAATGTCCATATTTGTTGCCATGTTTGTCTTCCATCCACAAGGGAGAAGTGACTTGCCTTATTTATTTATAATGGCAGTCATATGGGGTATCGCCGAAGGAATATTTCAGACGCAATCCAATGGTGAGTTGTTATTCTTACTGTAACTCGCTTTCCAACTCAATACATGGTTTTCAAAATTTAACACGGGGAAAATCTGGATTCAGAATATTTCTTTTTGTCATCTGCTTGACCACAATATTTTTTTTCATCAAATTGGGGATCAGAATATTTTTTTAGGAAAACACCGTTACCCCCCTACCCCCCCCCCCCCCCCCCCCCCCCCGCCCCTTGAAGTTAAATGGTCGTTCCCTTAATAAGCAACAGATTTTTTGGCGCGATAATTACCTCAGTCGTAAAAATCTCAAATTTATTTGTAATGAATAGTGATTACTATTGAGAATTAGTGCGGGTCACTGTTTCAAACGGTCGATAGTTTATTCGTGTTTCGTAGATCAACCGTTTTAAGAACGACTCTATACAGTTTGAACATTTTAATTTTATTTAACCAAGAATAATATTACTTGACAAAAAAGAAATATATGTCAAAGCTAAGACACTTCTGTGATTTAAATTAACGGATGCCCAGTTGCCAATGATATCTAAATTTCGGTCCGAGTTACTGAAATAACTGAGAGGTTGCTCATACAGATTTTCTCAATAGTTGATGTGCCATTTACCACTGGGCCATAGCTAATACTGGAAAATTGCTTAGTTGTATGACTGTACTTGTTGTACGGATATTCATTGTTAAACTATCGCTTTCTGTATGTTTATGATCACTACCAATCGGTGCACTGGTAAATTGTTGAAATTCTCCTTTCACGGTAATATCTTTATTGTTTTTGTCATATAGTGAATTTGGATTTGATGGTAGATCTTCGATAGATTATGTTAAATTATTCACAATTTTTTCAAGACTATGAGAATTCAGAGGCAGTCCATAAACAAAACATGAGGATGTAAGTTTCTGTCAAGAAATAGTAATAGATTCATTGGCAAGCAGATAAACCATACATCATTCGCTTTCTTGCAATTGTTCATTTTCCTCATGAATATTGTCCTTTTAAGACCGACAACGCCCTGTAACACAAATGAAAGCTTTATTCCCCAACCAAGTCCCACTGGGCCAACCAGTTCACAAAACAGACCGTCTCAAGCTGTCCAAACCAGTTCCTAATTCAGGCCGTCGGACCTCATAACAGGCCGTCAGACATCAGAGCATTCTCGTGAAAAGTAGAACGTAGACTACCATAAAAATCAATACATTAAAAGTACGTAACTCAAAATACTGGTAAAAGAAAACAAAAAATCAATGATAGAATGCAAGCTCAACGTACTAAACCTGTACTAAGAATTCTCCGTGTTACACGTTAGTTTTGGCAGATATCCTTCGTTGTAGATTTCAAACATCACCGTCATAGAATGAATCGGACGACGTGCCAACATTGTGCAATGCTATTTCACACCTTAAATAAACGAAGTAATTTTAATCCCAAAACGTACCATTATATGTTTCAGCAGTGTAATCACAATTATTTTATGTCGTTGAATTTCTGTCTCATTTTGGAATCTCCATATTTTTATTAAATCAACAATAATTACAACTGCTTTACAAACTTTTACTTTTACAAATTGTGACTTGGATGGAGAGTTGTCTCATTGGCACTCATACCACATTTTCTTATATCTATTAAATACTACAATAAATCGTGTGTGGCTATGGCATGGTATTGGTTGCAAAAATTTGATATTTTTCATTTAAATGCAATATTTCTTATTTAATTGGTATATTTCTTCATTTAAATGCAATATTTTTTATTCAGATGGTATAATTTTTCATTCAAATGGTATAATTTTTCATTCAAATGGTATAATTTTCGTTCAAATGCAATATTTTTTATTCAATTGGTATAAAATGTCATTTGAATGCAATATTTTTTATTCAATTGGTATAGTAGTTTTCTATTTATATGCAATAATTGAATTATGGGAAATTCTTTGACGTCACAAGGTCAAATTTGCAACAACGTTTGTGATTGGTCGGTAATTGTTTGGATTTCTCCCCTTTCTTTCTAAACTTGAGTGACCAAGAATTAAAAAACGCGTCAGAATATCTACCCTCTAACTAAATTTGGCGTTCGTGCGAGTTCGTGCACTGGCTGTTAATGCCAATAATTGCCAGGACGAGCAAAAAATGCGAGTGACAAGTAATAATAATTAATTTGACACACAACTTGTTCATGGATAGAAACAGATGCCTGCGTGCATGGCAAAAGCACCTCCAATGAAAACCTTTTCTGAAGAAACTCTCCTACAGTCTACACATTGAAATAAAAAAAATACATAGCTAGCCCCCCTCCCCCTTCTAAGTCCAGATACATGTAATCATGACGTTCTTTAGTGCTATATCATTTTTTACTTTTCTTGATCCTCAGAGACGTTGCAGGAAGGCACACATGAAAAAAGAATAAAAAGCATCCAGGACGTTACAATCATTTGGACTAAGCCCCCTCTTTTTTACTACATGTAGAAAAAAAATCACCTATTTACGACAGCAGAACCAGAAACCCACAAGTAGAGACATAATTAAGCTGTTATACTCCGGAACTAATTCTTTAATAAAGACAATTCAGGATAAATTGGAACCAGTTACTAACCCATGTTACAACAATAGTCCTATGATATAGGACTTCACTATATGAGGCGTGAACTTCATATTTAATACTATCTATAATATGTGCTCACATGTCTTATGCTGCAAATCATTTTACATTTAGGATTCGTTGCTGAGCTTTTTTTTACTGTTCTCGTCTCCGAATCCCTTAAATTGATTTTTTTTTCAAGCCCCACAGTAGTTCAATAATTACTATATGTCTTTGCATAAATAAGTATGCAGGGCATATTTCAAAACATATTTTATCTTCAGGACTTTTAAATGATTTACTTTTCAATACTGCATTGGAAAGGGGGGTATACAAGTTTATTTTGTGACACATTATATGATATAATTAGGTATCCAACAAATTATATGATTGTACGTTTAGCTATTATCTAAACCCGTACACAATGTATATAATAAGACACATTTAACAGGGGCGGATCCAAAACCTCGGTGTCTAGAGAAGGGGGGGGGGGGGGAGTAGGTTCAAATTTAGATATTTGTATAGAGATGTATATATGCGAGTATTGGCAGTAATGGCTATGGTGTGTGTGTGTGAGGGTAGGGGTTTCAAATCAAAGATCGTTTCTATAATTCTATATCTTTTAGTTTTTACCATTTCACTCTATTCTTTATCCTTTGATCTCTATTATATTTGTTCTAAACATGCGCGACATATTTGCCACTGGACATAAGGCAACCAAAAGTCAATCAACGTATTCTGTATATTTCATCATTTCTTTATTATGTTATTTATAGGTATGATCCCGCCCAATTATCTATTTTTTTGCACATTAGGGACGACATCAAAAGTTCAATGTAGGATAAAAAAAAAACTTAATTCATATAGTTTTTTTTTTCAGACCCCCTACCCCCCCCCCCCCCCCCCCCCCATCTCCCCTCCCCCCTCTTAACTTAATTTGGGAAAAATTGATTGACCAATAAGGATATATATAAAATCGATGTTGATTAAACAAAACTTGCAGCAATTTTGACCCCCCCCCCCAAACTATTTGAATTAAGTTTAAATCCTTCATTGATTTTCTGATGTCGTCCCTTATCCTCTCTATGTAATCCCAATTCATGTCCTGATAAATGGTGACTCATGCATAGTATCATATGTGGTTATTAAACCAAGAAACATATTCATATTATAATAATTAATGTATGCTAGGACTTATAGATAGATGTCATTAGTCCAAGGTCATGTAATAAAGTAGACCTTATAAAAATACAATAGCATTTTAATTTTGATGATTTTATTTATGTTTATATATTTAATAATGCCATTTTTTGGAAAAAAGGGTAGGGGCAAGGCGTTTTTAAAACAAATAAATGGGGCGCGTTTTTTTTTTTTTTTGTTCTTCGGAAGTGAGCCAGAAGAAGTCCATTTCTGTTTTTTTTTTTTTTGCATTGGGAAGATCTTCTGGCTCTATACCATCTCTTCTTTTTTGATAGGTTGACGGCAGAGGCACATAACAAACATGGCGTCGTTTAGTCTAAATGAAATTAATGAATTTATGAATGCAGATATATTAGAATGTGAGCTGTTTTATAAACGTTTTTATGGTATGACAGCCTTAGTAGGACATCCCTGTAGGACGATAAGCTGGATAAATATAAGAACTACACGGACAGTTAAGGGACGATTATTTGATATTCTAGGGAAGGGATTTTGATTAATTGGTGTTTAACGCTACTTTCAACACTATTGGGCTATTCCGTGGTGGTCAGTTTAAATTTATAGATGAAGAATGGGGAAGGGAAGAGAGGGCATTATTATTCATTTCAATCTGTCGCTAATCGTGCCTATTTTTCAGCTCTTACCAGGCAACCATATTCATATATGAAATCCTTCTGTCCCCCACCCCAACAAATAAATAAATATCAAATGGTTTTCCTCTTATTTAACACAAGTTTAAATTGATTGATTGTTTGTTGCCCAGTGAAAATTATTTCATGCTTGTTCAGGAAAACACAAGTTTAGAAGTCACGTATATAATATAAAAATGAAGAGATGGAATATGATTGCTAATAAGGCAACTATCCACCGGAGTGGATGTAAGCAATTATAGATAAGATAAGATAAGAAAAATTTATTTTAAGTCGGGTTACATAAAATACTACAAACATAAGCTCTGTAGAGCTTTTTGCCGTCATGTAGACAAATGCTTTTTGTAGACAATCGTAAGGCCTTCAACAATGACAAAAACCTGATACTGTAAAGTCGTCTATAAAAGGCCCGACATGAAAAGTGTGAACAATTCAAATGAAAAAACTAACAGCCTAATTATACATAACAAAACAATTTACAAAATATCAAATATGAGTCGAGACAGGAACCAACGACAACCATTAAACTACAGGCTCCATCCCTGGGACAGGCAAATAAAGAATATGGCAGGGTGGATATAAAAACGAAGATGTGGTATGATTGAAAATGAGACAACTCTCCACAAGAGATCAAATGACACAGAAATCAACAGCTATAAGTCACCGTACGGCCTTCGACAATAAGCAAAGCCTACACCGCATAGTCAGTTATAAAAGGCCCCGAAATCAAAAATGTAAAACAATTCAATCGAGAAAACTAACGGCCGAATTAATGTACAAAAAAATGAACAAAACACAAATATGTATAACAAAGCAACAAACGGCAACCACTGAATTACAGTCTCCTGACTTGGGACAAGCACATACATACAGAATGTGGCGGGGTTAAACATGTTAGCGGGATCCCAATCCTCCCCCTAATCTGGGACAGCGGTGTAACAGTACAACAACATGTTTGTGAGCAACCCATCCCGGAGCTGGGACAGTGGTGTAACAGTACAATAAAATAACAACCTGCACAAATCAGCAAATTAACTCAAAAGATCGGTACGAGACACACAAAAAAACTAACATTAAGACAATAGACACAAAGCACTGACATAAGAGTATTTACAATTACTGGAAGTTTGCTCAAACCTAATTACAACTGGTACTGAAATAAATCTTGTTCTCCCAGACTGAGTTATCAATCAGTACACAACGCGCGGCAAAGGATTTATTTAAAAAAAGAAAACAGTTTGAGAAACGTCTGGTTTACGTTGTATATAGATATAAGAAGATGTGATATGAGTGCCGATGAGACAACTCTCCATCCAAGTCATAATTTGTAAATGTAAACCATTAAAGGTCAACGTACGGTCTTCAACACGGAGCCTTGGCTCAAACCGAACAGCAAGCTATAAAGGACACCAAAACATTAGTAGTGTAAAACCATTCAAACGGGAAAACCAACGGTGTCTAATCTATTTAAAAAAACCGATATACTTGCATATAAATCCATATACATTGAAACGGTTTTTGAAAAGTGGACCGAACGTTTTGACCATCGAAATTTTGCAATAGAAATACTAGTTATGACCACAAGATTTTAACAGCCAGTGCAGGACTCGCAAGAACGTTAGATTTAGTTAGAGGGGCGATATTCTGACGCGTTTTTTAATTCTTGGTCACCCATGTTTAGAAAGAGAGGGGAGAAATCCAAACAATTTCCGACCAATCACAAACGTTGTTGCAAATTTGACCTTATGACGTCAAAGAATTTCCCATAATGCAATTATTGCATATAGATAAAAAACTACTATACCAATTGAATAAAAAATATTGCATTCAAATGACATTTTATACCAATTGAATAAAAACTATTGCATTTGAATGAAAATTATACCATTTAAATGAAAAATTATACCATTTTGAATGAAAAATTATACCATTTGAATGAAAAATTATACCATTTGAATAAAAAATATTGCATTTAAATGAAAAAAATATACCATTCAAATAAAAAAATATTGCATTTAAATGAAGAAATATACCAATTAAATAAGAAATATTGCATTTAAATGAAAAATATCAAATTTTTGCAACCAATACCATGCCATATGTGGCTAGGTTTTTTCATAAGTCAGTTAGAATTTTTCATTCCAAATTATGTCGTATATACACCAGAAAATTGTCAGAAAATAGTTATTTGGATAACTTAGTTTACGTTTTTATTTATATAGATGGAATTTTAATGAATTTGATAATTTTAATCCGATATTCGTTTTTATCAGGTCATATAAGTACAAAGGTAAGACTTAGTCACCCATATATCAAACCAGACAAGCTTTTCACATAAGCTAATAGTTGTATCTGTTATATTCTTTAGCACTGATTGGATACCTGTACCCAGAGAATACAGAGCCGGCATTTGCCAACTATCACTTCTGGAAGGCGACAAGTTTTACTGTGTATTTCGCTATCAGTACTGTGTTATGTGTAAAGACAAAGCTTATCATCGTCATTGCGTTATTATCGATAGCGTGTTTACTGTATATTGCTCTAGAAGTTAAAGTTTTCCTCAAACAACGGACTGCAGATATCTCCGAGACAAAATAGTCCAATACATGTTCAAATTTATACATCGGAAAAGCAACCAGGTTTGTTAATGACCGCGTGGAGACGGGCAATTTGAGCTATAAGTTGACAGAATAATTCGTATACATGTACAAGGTGACTGCCATGGCAATGGTATTAGAAAAAAGTATAAACTATCAATGTAAGCAGTTTGTCGAAACAGTGTGTTGCGGGTGATATGATATGACTTTTATATATTTTGTATTAATCATGGATGTATAGTTTGGTGTTTTATTTCTTTTTACGAAGTTCATTTTGTTTTTTTATGCTGTTTTTTTTACCACAATAAAATTGAGAATTGAATAAAATTGAATGGAAATGGGGAATGTGTTAAAGAGACAACAACCCGACTATAGAGCAGACAACAGCCGAAGGCCACCAATGGGTCTTCAATGCAGCGAGAAACTCCCGCACCCGGAGGCGTCCTTCAGCTGGCCCCTAAACAAATATGTATACTAGTTCAGTGATAATGGACGTCATACTAAACTCCAAATTATACACAAGAAACTAAAATTAAAAAAGATAAAAGACTAACAAAGGCCATAGGCTCCTGACTTGGGACAGGCACAAAAATGCGGCGGGGTTAAACATGTTTTTTGAGATCTCAACACTCCCCCTATACCTCTAGCCATGTATACATGTAAACATGTATATGTTACGACTCATCATTACAATAATAGAACTATTTAGTTGTTGTCACATTGTCTTGTAATGTTCAGTTCCAAAACGAAGAAAACATTCAATATACAAAGAAAAATTATAATCGGATCATGTTTTCTCTATTTTATTCAAATGTAGTGAAATATACTTTGCAAAAAGCTGCCTACACATTAAGTTTTTTTATTGTCTATTACACATTGTTTTGCAAAACAAAAGCGTCTTTTAAATGATGTTTTGAGCTACAGCATTATAGTCAGGGTTTTAAAAGTCTGTTTTCACGTTGTGTAAACGATGAGGTAATTTGTCAATTTGGCGTGAGACTTACTTCATATAGTCATAATCGGTCACGATCACTGTTACTGATACCTTTTACGATTTCTAAAGTCATGCCTGCCAATTTAACTTTCTAAATGTTTATCGCTCATTGTGTTAATGGTAAACGCTCATAGTCAACTCTTGCTTTGCCCCTTAGTATTTTCTTCCGCAATTAAGTTCCTGTTTACCTGCGTCGCCAAAGGCGAAAGTAGATCTAGTAACCACTCGACTCCGTCCGTCCATCCGTCCGGATTTTTACCTCAGTCGTGCATTCACTGTTTCAAATTTTACAACACTCATTGTGCCAGGAAAACATTTTCGTTAAAATTTACTTGGCTCTTATTGGAAGGTTCTATTTAATATTTGGTCTGCAGCTTAATAGTGTTGAGTTGTAGCGAGAAAGCAATTTTTACATCCATCGCGCCCAGCCACTTCTTGTTTGCCGATAGTTTGAAATATTACAGCCTTCATTGTACAAAATAATTGTACTGAAGGGAATATTTTTATTTTTTGTAGATGGATTGATTATGTTCAGTTGTAATGAGTAAGTAATTTTTACATCCGCCATACAGCAACTTCCTGTTTGTCGACATAATAAAATTTTACAACACTCATTGTGCAAGGAAACTTTTCTTTACATTTTTTTTTTCTTTAATAAAAGGGAATGATCAATTATGCTTCAGTATACATGTTACCTCAGTCAATTACATGCAGCAACAGTGGTCCAGACCCCGTATTGGTCTTGTTTTGAATTATTCTAATTGGCATTTTTAAACTTTTCCTCTTATTCTTTTGTGTCGTTGTGTTGCGGTCTCATTAATATATACCGAAAATCTCGTTTTTCATTTAGGGATACTCAGATATACAAAACCACAACGAATGGCGAGGTTTCTGACTAGGGCAGACACATGAACAGTGATAAACTTGTGTTTTAAGACTCAACCCTCGCCCTTTTAATCTCGATCAAAGGTGCAGAAAGGAACTAACAAAAGCTCGTACAGGAAAATCACTTAATTAACTAATAACGTTATAATAGATAGCAGAGATATCATAACAGCAAAATAAAAGTAAACAATTAATATACCGTATCAAAGATTACGGGAAAAAATTTCAAATTACGTAACCTGCTGATATTGAAGGAAAACAATCTCAAATAACTTAACCTGTTGATATTGAAGGAAAACAATCCCAAATTAATTAAACTGCTGATATTGAAGGAAAACAATCTCAAATAACTTAACCTGTTGATATTGAAGGAAAACAATCTCAAATTAATTAACCTGCTGATATTGAAGGAAAACAATATCAAATTACTTAACCTGCAGATATTGAATCATGCCATCGTCATAACTTCTAATATCAGTGGCTGTACGTCAGAGTTAATTACATGTAGCAGCATCATAAATAGTACACGAAGACACGATCTCATGAAATGCAAAGAACACACTGATACAAAATTTATATGCAGAGAAAACACCATTTAAGTCGTGCTTCGAACATTAATGTAGCATAAGTGTTGTTCTCCTACAACCCCCTAGTACCCATAAAACAAACACAATGATTGAACAATAACAAAAACTGCCAAACTCGATAAAGATCAATCTAATTTAAAGTTACACTTTGATGAATTTAAAAACACTTTTGTTACCTTGATGGTATTTTTGCTTTAAATAATCAAGATTTTTTCAATTTTACTGTGGAAACTTACTTAAAGGAACTTACTTTTAAATTAGATAAATCCAATACGGACAGCAGTCATTGTCCTTCTTTAGATTAGAATATTTCAGTTTCACACGGGAACATCCATTCAAAAATTTACGACAAAAGAGACGATTTTTTGGTGCCGATAGTTAATTTTCCCTTTATGGTTTTTCGGACTGTGATGTTCCTTTAGCCCCTTCTTACATGCTTAAGGTGTGTATATTTCACAACTTGTTCGATATGCCCGTATCTGTAGTCGCGTTTTAGATATCAAACAACGTAATTTATGTATACCTGGTAGTTTTCTAATTCAGGGATTTCGTGACTACAAATTTATTAAAACCTTTACCAAAATCTTCATAGATAAATAGTTTGGCTGTAAAACGGGATATCAAATCCTATATTTTACGGTGATGTTGTTTCATAAAGTCCGGAAATTTAGATACCATCCATTTAAACGCCGTTTCAGAATCTAATGCATTCTGGGTAATATTTTCAAAAGCGTACACCAAAACGTTTTGATTAGTTTAAACCGTACTAAACAATGGAAATTTAACCAATGACGTAACGCTATTTTATGTTTGGTGTACGAACAATGATATTACCCATAGTCCTTTAGATTCTAAAGAGGCGAAATTCTTTTTAATAAACTTATTTTTAATGGTTATCAATTTAACACAGTAATTTCTTTAAATATTATATTTATCGTTACTAACATTGATTTGTTTTTTGAAATATTAAAACATAACTAGATGTATATTGCTATATATGTACAGTTATGATAACTCACGATCTTACATCCTGTCGATACTGCTTACTTATATTTTTGGCATTTCACATCTACTTTGCACCACGAAAATGCTTATCTTCTTGTGGCATAGGCCAAAACCCTCGCCTGAATAATTGCCTCCTCCATAATTACGACTTATTAACGGTCATGGTTAAAAATATATCAAGTCAGTGAAGTTTCGTTGGGCTTTTATAAAGTTTATCGATACATTGGATTTTTCTTGTTTCACTTGTTGATAGTAACAGTCGATAAAACATTATATTTGATTTTCCGAGGTTGTTTTTTTTTGTGGTATTGTTGATCGAAATGTATTGACTAGCTTCTTAAATCAGCAGAGTAACCATTAATTCGTCATTTCGATGGATTATGTGCATGCTCTACAACATATTGAAATTTTGTATTGAAGTTTCTTTTTAAAAAAACTTTGTATATTTACTCTGAGTTAAATTATTAATTTAAAACAGTGCGTAAATGATATAACATTTTTAGAGTTGTTAAATTAAAATCCAGTTATGCAACTTTGAACATATTCGTGATAATTGTTGTACAGAATTATATGCCTCTTTTCAATTAATTATTTCATGTTTTACGGTAATTAAAGAAAAATACGTACCTTCAGTATACGACAACTTTGTACACATCAGTTAGGCATTTGTATACATTTGTATGGTTTTGTGGAACAAGCAGTTACAAACAAACAAACAAAATGTACAACTGAACAAACAAGACCAATACTAGATCTGAACGTTCGTCGCTGTGTATAATTGATTGAAATTTCAAACTATCGAGAAACAGGAAGAGGCTGTACGGCAGATCTGAAAAAAGGCTTACTCGCTTCAACCCAACATTATCAAGCTGCAGATAAAATATAAAATCATTCCCTTTTATAGAAGCCAAGAAATCTTTGACTAAAGATTTCTACTCAAGGTCTTTCGGACAGATGGACGGACGGATTCGAGCGGTTACTAGACCTGCTTTAGATGCAAGTAAAAACAAGTCTTTTAATCTTTCGACAAATTTTTTTCTTTTTAAATTAAAAAAAGTATTAAATCATCCCTGCTTTTTTATAAGTGCGTTTAGATGGAGGCTTGTAGAAAAAATATGTACATTGAAAACATGGTTCTATCTGTGCCTTCTATTTTTATTTATGGGTTTTAGTACGAATGTCTAGGCCAACTTGACGTGTAAGGGCTTTTGGGTTTTAATTCCAACAAGATATCTTCTTCTTCTACGAAAGTTTCACAAAGATTAGGACAACAAGCGTACATGTAGATCTTCACAAGTGTCGGGTCCTATACATCCTTGACCTTCAATTTTTTGCTTTGAGCGTTCGTGGCGAAATGAAACCCAGAAAAAGTTTTATTTTCATTTGTTGAAAGCACTTTTTTAAAATATTTTCTGGGTATGTTTTCTGATGCTAAATATTGAAAAAAAGTTGTGAACATAAGATACGTCGATTGTAAAGCGACTCGATGTTTTTTTTTATTTGTATGAAAGGAAGTAAGATACCATGAGGGGCAAAAATGAAGAAAGACAAATTTAAAGACAAATATCCACAAAACACTGTGATGAAAACTAAACATTTAGCAACACGAACCCCTTAAAAACTGGACTGAGCTGAGGTGCTCTAGAATGATAAGCTTAAACAGTTACAATACTTTGATAAGTTTAGTGTAATAAACATGGAAAGGACGGGACAGTCGGTAAGACAAGGGGACATATTGGCGGACATATATGACACATATATTCCAGAATGTTCACCTAATGACGTCTGTAAAACTTTCGAAGAGTTTACTTCAACTTTACCCTCAAGAACCAATCGTTCAATGACTTCCTTAAAAGCAGCAACCTTCTATCAAGAAAATAAGAGCCAATCCTCGAAATATCGTATCGCCTGCGAGATATTTCCTCAATATGCAGGTGCTGCTAGAATCTAGCCATATAAAAATAAATAGTTCGCAATCATCCTAGTTTTTTTGTGGATTGATGTTGCTCAGTCTTTAGTCTTCTTCATTGTGTTTTGTATATTCTTGTTTGTCTGTTGGTCTTTTTTTCGTTTTTGCCATGGCGTTGTCCGTTTATTTTCGTTTTTTGCCATGGCGTTGTCAGTTTATTTTCGTTTTTTGCCATGGCGTTGTCCGTTTATTTTCGGTTTGTGAATTTGAAAATCCCTTTGGTATCTTTTTTCCTCTCTTTTGAATTGAAACGTTAATTTTTCAAACAACCCTTACTGTTAATTTCTAGATGTAATTCAAACGTAAAAGTATGAAACTAACATTTATGTATATGTGGTATTTTTTTTTAGTTCAAGTCAATTCGATATATTCGATTGAAGTAGTCAAAAAAACTTTGAATTATTCAATGAGATGATATCGTCGATGTAGGGGAACTTGAACGTAAAGAATTGAAGCTAGCTTATTTTTATTATTCTTGAGAAGTCCCTGTATAAAGTCTGCCTCATACATGTACGCTGAAGGACGCCTCCGGGTGCAGGAGTTTCTCGCTGCATTGAAGACCCATTGGTGGCCTTCGGCTGTTGTCTGCTCTATGGTCGGTTTGTTGTCTCTTTGACACATTCCCCATTTCCATTCTCAATTTTACTATTAAAAACCAAGTTGGCTATAAGATAATGATAACTTATCTGATTGATTTTTTTGGATAATTACACCTTATGTAAGAATCCTGGGTTTTGATTGGTTGATAGCCAGTGTATTTTTCACCAATTTACTTTTATCAAATGAATATCGTTCATTTTTAACAGCGCCGGGGTATATGCAAAAAGGATATGCCTTTCTTACCCTCTCTGCCGTGGTATTTGCCAAAAAATACTCTATCCGACTGGACGCTTGTAATGTCACGATCATCAATGCGTTTTATGTCACGATCATCAATGCGTTTTGTACGTTAACATTCGGTGTAATTAAACAGATATAGCATGTTCTTGAGGGGTATTTGCGAAAAATACCAGTCTTGAGAATGAATTACCCTCGCCTTACGGCTCGCGAAATTTAACATTCTCTCGACTGGTATTTTTCGCAAATACCCCTCCTTAACATGATATATCTGTTCAATACCGACTGCCTGTTGAAAAACAAAACGTAGTACATATGTTGTCAATATAAAAAGGCAAGAATTTTGATAACGTTAGTTTCGGAGAAGTTCTTGCTTGAATAAGACTATTTTTTTTAAAGTATGATTCGTTCATTCCTCAAACAGTATATCCTTTACTTCGTTGTCCCTTCCTTTATCATAAAACAAAGTTGGACTTGTTCTTTCAATCAGTTGAGTAAAGTGTAAAGGACGGAGAGGTCAAATGTTGATGTTATCGCACAAGGAGAGGGGCTAAGAGTGTATGTCTTTTTAACAGGACTATAGATTTCTTTTTGTATCCACATCTGATATTCATATCGTCCGTTGATAAATTACTTTCGCAGTAATTCTGAAGTGCAGTTTTGGTTGTTGATAAAATAGATGTTAGTGATTTAGAAAGAGGTTTATTTTGTTTTTGTTTTTGTTTTTTTTTTAATCCAACATATTTCATTTACAGTAGTATGATTAAAGTAGCAAGTTCATAGGATACAGTACAACTCATTAGAAAATGTATAGTGTTTGAACTTGAGTTAAACCCTTTTTGAGTTTTTATAAACTGAACGTTCTTATACTATTTTCTTGATCTACTGTGAAATGAGTGTCTTGTTATAATTGCCAGATTTATTAAGAAAAACAAAAACATCTCCCTCTTTGAAATATCTCTCATACCTAGACATTAACAGACAGTATTTTTAAAGAGCCCATAGTTGTTTGAATTATGTATATATTATCATTTCAAAAAGTATACATTTTTACAAACCCTCATACATTCGCATGACATACAGTGATAAATAGATAAAAATTGCACAAAATATCATCTAGATGAAGCAGTATACAAATTCTCAACATACATATACTAATAATCTTCAAACAGGAACCAATAGTGAAATTCAATACTTTTAACACATGCATTTCATAGCATAAATTATAGGTACATGTAACATACAAGTATACTATTAAAAGAAAAATGTATTTCAATATGTTAAGCCTCGATGAATTTCTCGTTGAAATTTTTTAGTTTTTGCAGCTTGCATTATATTAAACTAACACTGTGACAATACTAGTTTAACAAAAATCAAGATATGTATAGATTATCGGGTTTTCTACATTTTATCGTAAAATATCAGCCGCGAGCTACAATGTGAACCTTGTTGGCGAGTGAGCGTAGCGGCTGATATTTTACGATATCTATACGTAGAAAATCCGATAATCTGTTTATCGTTTTATTACTGACCTATTTCCCTCCCTTAGACAGTTCTACGCTTGACGAAAAGAAGCTTGATAACGTCTCCTTACACATTATGACGTCGCTGATAACTTCTCCTCAGACATTGTGACGTCGCTGATAACTTCTCCTCACACATTATGACGTCGCTGATAACTTCTCATCAGACATTGTGGCGTTGCTTATAACATCTTATAACATAACGTAGATTTTGACTACTGAACGTGTAGTTAGCCTAGCCGCTAACTAGATCTAGATAGCCTTAAAAATGTATGCTATCTAGAGAATCCAAAATGGCGTCGGAAAGGTTATTACTCGTGACGTCATTATGATAGACTAGCTACCATCTTATCGTTTAACATACATAGATGTCTTAGAAATAGCTGCTAGAATATTGAACGCTACCCTGGTCACGTATCAAAGCCGTACGTGATACGAGGAAAAATGAGCGACTCAGCAGGGTGATAAAGGCAAAGGGAGGGACGATAAATGTGCATAATACTTGAATTTTTAAAATGTAGAAAACAAAATCATGACCTAGTATAATTATAAGGGAGATAACTTTGATTTTTTTTTATACAAAGAAGGGGAAATAAGCACAAATATCATAAGTTCAGTCAATTATCAGCAGCGAAGTTGAATTCTCAATCTGTCTGTGAGGTCTAAGTTCTATTCCCATAACATCTATTTCCCTTGTTGTAGTCTGTAATGAATGTCGTCATATAGTCCAAATTTTAGCTGAAGTCCTGAAAAAGTTCTACCATAAATTCCACAATTATAATACCAGACAGATTCAAATTCTTCCGTTTCTCTAAGTCTTTTAATTAAGCCCATATTTCTTTGAGTAACGTTATCCACAAATTTAATCTTACTAGTCAATTCTTTTCTACATCTCATAATCTTACGCTTTACATCACTATTGAATAGTTTAACAATAACTGGATAGGGCCCAACTTTTTGTGACGGTATACGGTGGATTGCAACCACATCTCTATCTTCCAATTGAACGTTGAGGTCTGTTTTGACAAATTCCATAAAGTCCTTTCTTAGATCTTGATGTTCCTTTCTTGGAAAATTAAGTATTTTAATGTTATTTTTTCTCGAATACTGCTCGTTGTAATTGCTACTTATATCAGCCTGTTTTGAAAGTCGACTTGTTTTATTAAGGTCTCTTATTATTGTTGTATTTGGATACTGTATATCTTGGAGCTGTTTCTTTAGGTCTTCGTTTTCTATAGCTAAAACATGCAATTTTTCCTGCATTTCATTTTTAACTTCTTCAACTTTTTCATCAATCTTGTTTTGTACAGTTATTTCAAATTCATTCATCAGCTTTTTAACAATTACAGTAACTACTTCCTCAACATCACTAGTTTTTATCAGATCCTTTGTTACTCTATCAAGGTCCTCTCTCCTTGTCACACCTTCAAGTTTTGATTTAATGTCGTCAATATCTTTTTGAAAGTTCTTTATACCAGATGAGTCTAAACTATTGTTTGAGTCACTGGATACGTCTGAATGGGTTCGTTTTTTAGGTGATGGTTTATCCTTATCCACTTTTGCTGCAAGCAATGTCTGAACAGAATTCCCAGGTTTAGATGTAGATCTTTTGTTTGTAGATTTGTAACCAGCTACCGTTTGCCATGAAGACATACTGTGCATATAATGTTACCTCTAGGAGTAAAAATCAAAAATCAAATATTATTATGAATCATTTTATGTGGGTTATTGGTTTAATGAGGATATCCTCGATCTCCTATATTCGAGGTGAAGAATAGAAACAGAAACAAATACAAAATCCTTGTGCCAAAATAATCATTCACAGGTCACTTAATTGTTCCTGTTGAAAATAATGCCACACAAGTTATATTATTCTATTCTCTATTGAATTAGGTATCACATAGTAAGAAAATCCTAGATAGAGCCTTCTTAAGTTTGGCTTAAAACTTCTAAAAATGAGAGCTGATTTTTATGGTGTTAACTGCTCGGTGGCCATATTGAAAGAGGTTTCGTGGAATATATGGTGGACCTACACATGTATTGTAGCTTTCTATGCGGTATGGGTTATGCTCATTGTTGAAGGCCGTATGGTGACCTATAGTTGTTACATTCTACGTTACAATGTGTAACTGGTCTCTGGTGGAGAGTTTGCTCATTTGCAATCATACCACATCTTCGTATTTGTATAAAAAAAAAAGATCCAGTTCATTATGTTTGTTTGAAATGCAAAAGGAATCTAAAACAGGCTCAAGTTTGTTGAAGATACCTTCTTAATTAAATGGGTCCAAGAAAATTTTCAATACTTTACACAGTGTATATAATGTAATTAATTCACAAAAAAATGTTGTTTTTTGGCGGCTATGTCTGCTGGGACAACATCATATTTGTCATGGGGATAATACAGTTGTTTATCGATATAAATTCAGAATTTATTGCGAGGATTTTATCAATGCGAATAATGCGACTGGGTAGGTATCGCAATAAAAGAACTCGCATTCTGACATCTGATAAATATATCTCTATGCACCTTTTCAAGCCTGAAATCGCAATAATTAATTTCGCATTTTGTTCATCTCAAAAAAAAATCGCAAAAATAAATGCACGCAATCATTTGTGAATTTACAGTATTTGAAGATACATGTATTTGTAGCACCAGTGTTCATAGGCTAAAAGTGTCGTATTGTATTAACGACACAACCGCTTTAACAAATTTTGAACATAAAACTATTGAAATATCGAGGAAAAGTTTCATATTAAATTTATTTGTAAAGTATACTTTCAAATGTATGAATGTTAAAATATACTTATTTAACAATAATATGTTTGACTGCGAGGACTTTTTTATTGTTGGAATTTTCAAATTTTCAAAAGCAAGCACAGGTTTTAGTGAAAACATAAAAATTGTTGGCTGCACGAGATATCAGAATTATCTTTAACATAATATTAACATTTATTTTTAAATACTTTTTAGTAAGATGAGAAAAAGAAATGATAAATGTACCAAATTCCCATGATGCATCAACACAAAAGGGGAAAATATATAATAGGAACATCAGAGGCTTAATATAGTAGAAATAGTGACAAATATGTACTTTTTCTTACAATATCTGTTCACATATTTTTTAATTAGTATTCAAATGAAGTACATTAAAAGGTACATTTAAGATATTATACATCGTAATATAACTATTCTATTATTACCAGAAAATTAATTACCAGAAGTCAAATACCTCAATATGACGCTTGTTTTTACACAGAAAGTAATTTGGTATTCTGTTGCTGTTCTTATCTGTCAGTTGGATAGCCTCTCAATTTGTCGCGTAAAGTATCGTGACAGGGAACGTTATTAATCACTGGGATATGACTTGGGAGAACTAGGGACTGCCGCCATTACAAACAAGGTAAGTAAAACTTGAATAGATTTCAACAAATTACAAAACTTCTAGATAGTAAAAGATATCAGCATATATAGTTGTCATAAAATCATGGTGATTCGAGCAGTGTTTTATGTACATATACTTTGAGGCATCATGCATTTAAATTGAAAATTAGCAAATAGCTTTGTATTGTGTTAAGACATTATTTTAGAAGATTGTTTTTATGTCTGTTGATTATTTTTGTCGTTGGATTGCTGTCTTATTGCAGTATATGTATTCCACATTTACTCCTATTATACATAATTATCGATTTAAAAACAAATTATCGAGGTTTAAACAATGCGGCGAATACAGATGGGTAACCCGACAGATGTCAGTTGTTTTTCAAACATATTAAAACCGTATTGTCAAGCATACTTAACGCCAGTTTCAGCACTCTTGGTCATACCATGGCGGCCATGTATATTATTGGTGGAGAAAGCCGTAATACCCGTAGAGAACCACCAACATTCGACAGGGGAAAATTGGTAATCTTAGTCAATTAAGACCAGAACGGGCGAGTGGTGTTCTAATTCACAACCTTCGTGGTCACTGTAAATGAACTATTTAGACCACCGATGCTCCATTTGTTCTAAAATCCAATCAGATCGACCACACATACACACATTTTGTTTCTTTCAACATTATCAAACTATAGTTTATATCTTTATTTGATGGATTATGATACTTTAACGTATCTTTTCATGTAGTTAACATAATTTTTATCTAATTCAATATATATTTAATTTTTACCAACCAGAAACAGAATGATAGCGCTTACATTTGCAAGTTTGTTGTTACCGACATGCTTTTGTCAGCAGATGGGAGGAACGTGGAATGGTGGAGCTGGAGGTGGTGGTGCAGCTGAAGGTGGAGCAGGAGGTTCATGGAATCCACAGGCAGGCGGGGGTGGAATGGGAGGAGCCGGAATGGGATTTGGAGGACCAAATTATGGTCCAGTTCCTCCAGAATTCGCAGCTGCTATGAGTGGTGGCTTTAATACTCAACCACCACCGATACCGCAAGGTATGATGGGTGGTAGTGGAGCAATGATGGGGCATGGAATGGGAGGTCAAGGTATGATGGGTCATAGTACTGGAATGATGGGCGGACATGGTATGATGGGAGGTCATTATCCAATGTATCCAGGTATGATGGGTAATGGAATGATGGGACCACCACCACAGGGAGCTGCAGGTGGCCAACAGACAGGCAAGAAACCAACAACGAAAGCACCTGCTGTGGAATATGAAGCACCAGAACATCCTATCACTACAAAATCGCCTACAAATAAAATAAATGCTGCTTGGCAGAAAATGAAGCAAGGGCACGGAAGTGGAGCAGCCATATCAGCACCAGGTCAAGTCCCAGGTGCCGGTCATGGACATGGACCACACCAAGGCATGCCAGATCAACAGTTCCAACAAAATGCAATGCGTCACCAACAAATGCAACAACAAATGCATAGACAATATCAAATGCAGATGCAGAATAGTAACAAGCAACCAACTAAAAGACAACAACAACCACAATCTCAACAACAACCTCAAAACAATGAACCACAACCAAGTTATTCACAACAACAAAAAATAGGAATAATGGCAAGATTTAGTAACTCTATGAATCAAATGATGTCAACTTTCAATTCTATTCGTACAAGCTTAGGAAAGCTTATAAGTACATTGTCCAAATTTGTAAAGTTACAGTAGTGTATAAGTACCCTGTCTCTTAGTGTGCGTGCAATAACTGTCTAACTTATTAGAGAATCAAATAAACCTATTTGTATTATGAAAACGAACAATTCACGGAATTTCCTGTTAAAATCTGTGTTTTATAGAGTTCAATATTACTTTTATGCTATGCATGAAGGCACTTGATGTTTAGCAAACATCGTTGTGTTTTAAATGTTGATCTATATTGCATGGATTGTTTGGAAAAGATAGTAAAGACTTAAGGTGGTACCCAACACCTTGACTAATATTAATTTGGCTCGTTTAATTTTCATAAAATTTTGACAAAATGTTTACTTTGACCCTTTGACAAAAATATAAAAATTTCAAAAAATTTGAATCAACCACTTTATCAGAAAAATTTCATTGGTTATATAGCAGTTTGACAAACACTAATTTTGATCATTGAGAAGCTTAATATTTCCTTAACAATACAACGTATTTAAAACGTTTAGCTGATTTTTACAGAGTTATCTCCCTGTAGTGTTAGGTACCACCTTAACATGGTTGGCATCAGTAATATGTAAATGACTTTTAACTTTGAAACTGAATTACTTTAGAACGTCAAATTGTTGGTCTTTACCTGAATTGGATTTCATTTGATGATTAAACAATTCGCTTATAGTCTCTGTTATTGTCAGAACGAAAGTTTATGGGATTCAAAATTTTACTTCAATCCATGATTTCATCTTTTTGTAGCAAAAAAAGTGTATCAATGGCGGCTCCAGGGGCGCGTAGAGGGCGTACGACTATTTTATAGTACAAAACATGTTTTTGTTTGCTTAAAATAAAATAAAAAAGAATTTCGGACGATTACGCACCCCTTTACTCTGATTTTGGACCCGCCCCTATTGGATAACAACAGTTTCAGTACAAGAACAAGTAAACAATAGTTCAGTAGATTTAAAGTTTCCGAAAACGTTTGACCGGAAGAAGGATATACAGTTTTCATTGCTGCTAAAATAAATTTCATTTTAAAGCTTCGATCATTCTAGATGAAATAATGCACATTATAAAAAAGTCTGATATATAAAGTAATTTGACCACAATGTACATGTCATACATATCAGGAAAATGTTAAATTCAATGAACTGTTTGTTTATATACTTTTCTCTAATTCTATGGAAATTTATCCCTTTCCGGACCCATTGTATAAAAAAATTTAATCAACGTGTGGTTGCCGGTGATCTCAAAAGATCATTGGATGATTTTAAGGGTCATAACCTTTTTAGCTAACTGAATGAATCAAAATATGCTAACAGGTGTTAATGAAACTGACAACTTCGTGGAATGTGAAAGGCACTCGAAGGGGATTTTCGTTTAACAAAAAAAGAAGATTTATTTTTTAATCATTAGAGAAACAGATTCTTACATACTTACTCGTGAATTATCGGATTTATCCAATCTCGATAGCTAAATTATAAATTTTAAAGTCCTCGCCGAGGCTTGGACTTTAAAATTGATAATTTAACTATCGAGATTGGATAAATCCGATAATCCACTGGTATCAATGTAAGAATCTATATTTAAAAAGTTTAGCAACATGCATATTATTTTATCTAATTTCTCAGTTTAAATCTTTATAATCGATTTTTTATCGAGTAAAATTGTACTTTGTGAATTATTTTCTTTTTAACAATAGTTTATTTTTTGTTTTGTATAGATGTGTAGTTTATTTTTGAAATATTAAATTAAGAATTTTAAAAAATGTTGCTAAACTTTTTTTACACAATACAAATGTAAATTCTTCTATTAGAGTATATATGTTTTTACAAAAAAAATATGAAAGGACATCAAATTATTCAACAGGTGAGCGTCATTGCAAGTAAAATGTGTATACGTAAAAAAAAAAACGTTTCACGACGTAATGCGTATGAGTTCCTACGCAGGTTAACTAGTCCTTAATTTTTTTTTACAAATTTTGATCTGGAATTAGTTAAGTTGCATTTGAATGGAACCATAAGTAATACATCAAAACAAAACATCACATTACGTTGTTTTTTTTTTCGAGTTCTATTTGCATGCATTGATATACCTCTTCAGGTATGCTCAGCGGTAAAGGTAACAAAAGTAATTACATAATAGGTTACCAGCTTAGGTCAGCAAAACATTTGATATCAATCGTGACGATACGCGATCGTTTGATGCGTTCATGACTAAGTTTAGAAAGCAAATAAAATGAAATACAAGAATAAAAAAAGGGTTTTTAAAAACAGTCACGAGTCGATTTTAACTAAAGGAGCTGAAACCTTAATTTGCACGTTTATATTTTGATTTGCAAACATTTTACAACTGTATCAGCTGATAATTCATTACAAAGTACGTAACAAAATCATGATCAATGCCGACACACTGACTACTGATACACTCGTGTACAAGAAAAAGATATACAATAAAGTGAATACACTGTTAATACAGAGATATATCTCGCCTCTTTGTTATTTAGATAGTAAAATGCAAATGTTGAAATTGAAAAAGCAATACTTTAGCATGCAAGTTATGCAAAATATTCAGAGTCAATGAACCATGACAGGGTACAGGGCCAAACAATTTCCATGGCAATGAGATGTGTCAATGCTAAAACAATTTCATACCAAATATTGACCTACCACTAGTGATTCTCCATAAACTGACCTAATCAGAAACTAATACATGTAAACTAAGCAAAAGTTTCAAAGTCAATAGACCATGACTGAGGGGGCCAGCCAAGTAATCTCCATGGACATGAGATGTGCCAATGTTAATACAACTGCATACCAAATATCATTGACCTATTACTAGCGGTTCCACATAAACTGACCTAATCACAAACTAATACATGTAAACTAAGCAAAAGTTTCAAAGTGAATAGACCATGACTGAGGGAGCGGGGCAAAATAATCTCCATGGAAACGTGATGTGCCAATGCTAATACAACTGCATACCAAATAGCATTAACCTACCACCAGTGGTTCCCTATAATCTGACCTAATCACAAACTAATACATTGTTGACGCCGCCGCCGCCGGAAACACTATACCTTTGTCTCGCTTTTTGACTCCGTTAAGGCGAGACAAAAATTGCGTTGGAAAAAAAAAGAGTGAAAAAAAATAAACAGATTACACAGCATATGTTCCTGAAAAGTTAAGAAAGAAATTGTCACGACGGGTGACGATGTCGGGTTTGAAAGCTTCGTATTCTAATTCAGTACGTTTTATCAAAAATAATTTTTATGTAAGAACTTACAAAAAAGTATACGCAGTTGTTGTGTATAACGTACATCATGCTTTGATTTCATTTGATAGGACGTATTTTAAGTTGGCGGCAATATTTCTTTGCGATCTAGCAATGTGCAGAGTACTATCCATATCCGTATACTGAAAAATCCTAAAGGGATCTATGTCGACATTTTTAATAGCCTACCCTTCTATTAATAAAAAATTAATCAAAAATATTTTTGTGTGACTGTATACCTTACAAGGAAACTCATTTCCTTCCTAAATGATCATTATTCTATCAGAAGCATGTATTGATTTTCCGATCAACGCCACCCTTACTCAACTATCTTTTCATTCAGGTCAAAAATTTCAAATTTTCCACGGCGAAAGCAGCGTTCATAATGTTTACTACAAATAGACAGCAAATTTGATTTTTTTAAAACATTTTTGGATCTGTTAATCAAGTCCCTGTGGATCCTGTAATAGGAGCAACCGCAATGAAGGACGGGATATTCGGACTGCCACTGAAAAATGAGGTTATACTGGAATGGAACAGAAATTTCGCAACTTACGAACCTCCCCCCCCTTTTCCCCCATAAGAGTTGTTACATAGTTTCTTAAAGTGCAGAGAGTGTGGAACGACATTTGAATTTTTATACAAATTTGATCGTGAAAGATCCGGTGCCGTTTACTTGCCATTGCCAAGCTCATTGGAAGTGTTAAAATTGTTTTGTAATTATATAAAAATTTATTATTTAATTGGTACAGCAAAAGACTGAACTTTCATGACTTCTTCCGGGTCACTTTTGTTGGGGTTAAAACTGCTAAGCTATGGTGGTTCAATGTCATTTCGTCTGGGTTTTTAATAAGACTACACCGACTAGTCCGTGATGACTTAAAGCAATTACTGTCTGTCTTTTAATGTGATATCAAAAGTCAAAATTGCCTCATACTTTATCAATAAGAGGAAGATCTTGTCGATTTTTTTTTTAAACCGGGGGTAGCCATTCCTTTTGGTTTTAAAAATCTTGATTAACAAATTTGAGAAAAAATTTGAGCTTAAATTTTAATGGAAAATGATTGAATCCGGGGAGTTCAAAATTGCGGCATGTGAAAATTAGAGGGAGATGTGATAAACTTTATTTTTTATTCAAAAATTAACATGTTATGATTTACATCTTTATTTCAACAACAATTTATATCAAGGTATGATAAGGAATTCCAGATTAATGCCCAATGTAAAATTTTCGATAAAAAAATAGTTTGAAATAAAAAAAAATGTCACACACATATTTGAAGAAAACTCAAATCTGTTGAAGGACTTCAACGAAATTTAATATTTTTATTACCCCATTTCTTAAGTGATTATCAAATTTGCGGTAGAAAGTAAGCTTTTATTAAAAATAAACCGTACTGCATTTTTTTCTTTTCTTAATACGCAGTATTATTAAGGACGTAGAACCATTTTGATAGACATATTTCTGTTTACTGATCTTTTCAGTCTTTTAATAATACAACGGACATTTTCACAGATTTTGCAGTTGAATTGTATAAAATTGCACACATTGTCCGTTGCAAGATCTTTAACGATCCGATCGCAATGCTTGGCCATCTTTTCTTATTCTTTCACGACCTTTTTTCTCGATATACCAAATGATAGACGTGAATTGGCGCAAAAGGCAGCAGCCAAATTATCTTACAAAAGAGAAATTGATTGGTTTACTTTAATATTTTTACATTTTTGAAAATATGTACTTTTCTAAGAACAAAATTATCACATGTTTTAAAATATAAGGTATTTACACATAAATATATATATATATATATATATGTAGGTACTTACATTTACTCTAGATATTTCTTCTCCTTAAGGAACAAGTAATCAATAAATTGTATATTTCTTTGTCATGAAAATCACGTGTTATTATACACTAACCTCTACTGTCTATTTCGTATAATTTGTATGTATTGACCTCTCGTAAAATTAATAAGAAGATGTGGTATGATTGCCAATGAGACAAATCTGCACCAGAGACCAAATGACGTTAAAATTAGCAATTATAGGTCACATTTGTGTCTAGAAATAAATAAAGCATTTGTTGTTGTAGACAGATTGAAAGCTAAAGGTCGAAAATGAAACACGACTTAATTGCAAAATTGATTTCCTTTTTGTAGAAAGTTTAAAGATTGTTTGCTGAAAACTAGACGTTGATTACACAATATGGCGACCCTCCGTCGTGATTGTTCCTTTTAATTGTTCCAAATGACAAATGGAAGTTTTTACAACGCAGTAATGTTTTATCATTTGATTTCGTTCGGTTTCTGTTCGATTGATGTCACGACCGCATCTCCTTCGACTCGTATTCTAGAACATTTGTTAGCTCAGATTTGTAAACTTTAGAAGGAGTTGATTATACGATATCCTTCATTGACAATACAGCTGAACAATATGGAAAATCAGCCATGATAATTTTCCAAATGTGTACATAAAGTAAGGTACCCATCTTCAATGTATCTGCATCTTCAGGGTATATTGTTACATTCTAGAAAATTGGAGACTTTGGGTTAAAACCTGTAGAAGGAACCGTCTATTTGAAAATTCAGTAACTGAAACTTTAATCAGAGATCTATTTTTATGAGTTGTTTCCCTTGGGAGGGACATACGTTTTCATTAATAAGACGAGCTAGCGAAGAGAGCACATTTTTCTACCCGTAATGTGTGTAAGTTTTTCATATCTTTTAAGAACATTCTAATCTTTTGTAAATATAAAAACTTTGATATCAATAGTTATTTTTTATTTTAAATGGTTAAAACGCCTATATATCACTTACAACATGTCATGCTTTGCAAGGTCAGCAACCATATTTTTCTGGTTTAGAACTAGTTAACATTTAGCAAAGGGGAACAACTTGACTTAAAAATGTGTAAACAGAATCAAATCGATAATTGTTAAATAGACTATTGGTAGCACAAAACATGTACCCTCTTTTATTGGTAGTCCCGCCCGCCGCCCGACATTTTACCATGATTAAGCTTGATTTGAAATTCATACAAATCAGAAAATCTCATAATATAAACCACGCTCAGTCTTCTAGGAGATATCATACGTTAAACAGACAAAATTAAAAGATGAGGTGTATGCTCTTCTGTATTTTTAAAGTTTTCATGGTGTATTTATTTTATGAGATAACTTCTCTTTTGTGTGTCATTTCATTCTCTCAATTTTAGGCAAGTTAGAGTACTAAAATTCTAATAAGACGCACACCACCTATTCTTGGCCCCCAAAATGTTTCACTTTCAAACATTTATTGGGGGGGGGGGGAGGGGGGGGGTCAATAAACCGTTACTTCATATCTGATAAACAGGCAATATATGCCCTCAATTTTAGAATTCATTCATATATTTTTTTTATTCAAAATTATCAGTCAAAATGTGTTCTACAGGGTTCACTAGTCCTTCACCTTTCATTTGATACCTAAATTACCAAAATATATTCTACTGATTTTGATATTTACACTTATGCGTAGGAACTATTTTGTTTTGAATATGTACTACTAAGTAATTTCTTGACCGGGCCCGATTTGGTGGTGTTACATCTTAAAAAGTCTATCCGAATTATTTTGCAAAGAATTCAAATCAAACCGGGGCTAGGGACCGTCTTAAAGTTGCTGCGCGGTGACTGTTATTTTTTTTTTTTTTTTTTTTTTTTTTGCTCCGTATTGAAGGCCTCACTGTGAATTTGAGAGGAAACACAGCAATGAAAGCGCTGTTCTTTTGCTTTTTGTGTACGTGTTTTTTGCTATGCATCTACTGATTTTGTGTCATGAATGGATACCCCATATCCTTTGTTTTTCAATTAAAATTGGAAAATTCATTGTAGAAAACGCCACGTGAAAATTTCACAATCTCATTTTTTTTCAAATGTACGTGTACACAATGGGTTGTACATCTTTAAAATTTTATAGACGAACATTCTAGAATTTTTGATGGCTTAAGACTGTAATCCCACTATATCGAGAATGCTGCTAAAATTGACTACATGTTGCCATCCAGAAAAAATGTAAATATTATGTATACACAATTTGAATGCATGTACAAACATTCTAGAAAGTTCAAGGTAATGGTTTGAAAATCGTTGGGGAAAAGTGCATGATACGAATTCCGCGCGCACTCCACATAATTCTAAAATAACTTCACCAGGTATGCTCGAGACTGAAAGATCCAAAAGGTAGAAATTTAACACATTGGAGAGTATAAAAAAACGAAAGGTTCCTAATAGAACAGCCAAACTGTCTAAGGTCAAATGTGTATAGTAATTGGCACATTCTAGACATATTTCAGGATTCATACACGTGGGTTGAAAGCTGTATGTACGTATCATCCAATACACAGCCTACTGCTTACATGCCAGGTAACCGACATTCATTATACTGTACTCCAGATTTAAACATTGTGCGACTCGACCAGAAAAAATACTTTGATTAAAGACGCCAAATAATTTTACAAAGAAAAACTGCGTAAATTTTAGCTAACTATGAAAAAGAAAAACAAGATGCGGATAAAACAAAAACGTTATAACTTCCGAACTTTTGCCTTATGAAATGAATCAGAAAGGATTAATCAGGTATACAGGAAATAATGTGAAACTTCGTAAGATACTAAGTATTCAATCAAATCTTCTTTTCTATGAAGTCACTGGTTTCCAGGAATTTCATACTGATAATCGATTGAACACACGTCACTAGTAATAAGCAATTACATTGCTTCATGATCATTTACACAGGAATAGTAGTATTGAGGGAGCGGCAACGGACACATTATTTGACGGGAATCCAGGATTTGGCATTCAATTTCTCGGGAATTCGGGATGATAACTCTTCCTACCTCCCACTTGAGTTCCCAAATAAAATCATTGTGGGGTAGGAGCATTTTTTTAAATATTTCATTCGATGGCAAAAATATTGAGATGTTTGTGTCATTGAACCATAGCGAAAAAATCAATGCAATGTGTAGTTTACTCCCAAAAAATCTTGGTTCTATATACAACTTAAAAGAATGGTGTGTTTTTGTTGTGAGTTTAAAGAACCTTTGACAACCACAAGATATGATCGGTGCCTTTTCAATTTATGTTGCGACTTAATAAAAAAATAAATAACCAAAACTGTTAAACTGATCAAAATTATTATGAGTTGAACAAAACCAACAAATACCATTGAAAAAAAAGAAGGACGAACAGACGAAAAAGTTAAAAACAATTTCAATGAAGAAACACGCAAACCCAACTAAAAATCTGGGATAAACTCAAGTGGTTCGGCAGGGTAACCACTCCCTGCTCTACTAGTGTCACGTGTTCGTCGCTGATGGCAAGTAAACATCCACTTTTTTATAAGGAGGCAAAAAATTAAAAACTAATTATTTATCAATTATATTGATAAATTATTATCCTTCCCAAAAAGAGCATGAAGAGCATAGTTGGGGTGTGTACAAAAATTGAAATCATTCAGTCTATAATAACAGGCATGAAAACATAGTAACTTGGGAAAATTCAGAAGTTTCAGAGAAAGTTAAGTACAAGTTCAAATACTACAAAACATTGTAATAATACTAGTATAAAGCCGTGTCACTTTTCCCAAAAAATTGATTTTCACTCTGATTGCGTGCTTTACTTTTCAATTTAAACTGCAGTTCCAATAATTATCATGTTGTATTGGTGATAAAATATGAATAACAAACTGTAAGATACATTTTGATCGCGAAATCACATAAAATTGCTATTTGAAGTTCTGAAGGTCAGAATAACCTTTATTTCTAAATGCATTTGCTCTGCAATTATACCAACGTTTCATTGATATCTTAAAAAAACTACATTTAGTAGTAAAAAGACGGCGATTTAAGGTCTTGATATTCCTTGTCTTTGCCCCATCCTATAAGTATAGTACACTTCTTCGTAAATCAAATATGCTTATGAATATTGTTTGTAGAGCGCAGCAATGGCGACACCTGATACAAAATGTAACGTCACAGTTGTATTCGTCATTATTAAAACTTTATATGCCTTGAACGGAAATGAAGTTTGGTAAAATAATAAGCCCATTCAAAACGATGAGCTGTTTCTAGTCAGTTACGTTCGTGCACTCCACATTTAAGACATATTGACAGAAGCCATGACCTGATTAATAATAAATGAATTAATCCTTATTTAAATTTTAATATTTTTAGAAGCATAGACATATCTTGAATGAAATATGACAGTTAAATTGTCTGCACGGTTTGTAATAATCAACCTAATTACAACTAATTAATTATGCATGTGTTTTCAAATGAATCATATGAATTGTTTACAATGTATAATTTTTGCGTGGTTCATATTAAAATATGTTATCCCTAAATTGTCAAGTTGATACTCCATATTTACTCACCGTTTTCCTAAATTTATTTTTATCATGAGTTTATGTTAGAGTATTTCTTATATTAATCTTTTAGCTCTCTATGTTTGAAAAGTTTTCTTTTTTATAATTTCAACTTCGCCATATTTTTCATCAAGGTGCCTATCTTTTTTTTTTTTACATATATTTGTATCCCCCCGCCGCAGTCGAAGAGGTGAATAGGTGTTACCTTTACCGTCCGTCCTTCTGTCTTTCCGTCCGTCCGTCCAATTTTCGTTTCCGCACTCTAACTTAAGTTTGCCTAATGAAAATTTTACGAAACTCATACACAATGCTAAGAATTAAAACTCGCAGACAGAGTTCGAATTTGGGTAGTGAGTCACTTACCGTTCTAGAGTTATGTCCCTTTATAACTTTGAAAATTACAATTTTTTCGTTTCCGTACTCTAACTTAAGTTAAGCTCATGCAAATTTTATGAAACTCTTACAGAATGCTAAGAATCAAAATTTGCAGACAGAGTTCGAATTTGGGCAGTGAGTTATTTACTGTTCTAGAGTTATGCCCCTTTATAACTTGGAAAATTGCATTTTTTTCGTTTCCGCACTCTAACTTAAATTTTCCTCATCAAAATTTTACGAAAATCATACACAATGCTAAGAACCAAAACTCGTAGACAGATTTTGAATTTGGGCAGTGAGTCGCTTACTGTTCTAGAGTTATGTCACTTTATAACTTTGAAAATTGCAAATTTGTTCGTTTCCGCACTCTTTCTTAAGTTTTCCTCATGCAAATTTTATGAGACTCATACACAATGCTAAAAACCATAACACGCAGACAGAGTTCAAATTTGGGCAGTGAGTCATTTACTGTTCAAGAGTTATGCCCCTTTTTAACTTGGAAAATTGCAAAGCTTGAGTGGGAGCAGTCGTGTCCGTAGACACGTTCTTCTTTTATTTATTATATTCTTTTAACATGCATGAATGCAATCTACCAAAGAAAGATATTTTTCTCATTGAATAAAAATAGTCTTTATTCTCAGTAATTTCCTAGTAGGAAATATGCAATTATTAAATTCTAGTTAAGAGACAATTAAGAGTTGTAAATTTACTCTCAATCTGGCAGTGACAAAGTAAAGTAAATATAAACCACATATAATTCTATAATTATATGCACGCTAACCTCGTAATCATATTTTTAAATGAGAATTAATGTGAAGCGATGTCGTGTTTTAATTTTTTTTTTAATATAATTAAAATGTCATCATGAAGCCGTCAAAGTTATGTCAACTAGCGCACGCAAATGCATTAATTCACACAGGTTTTGTGCTTTTCTGTTTACATAAGGTCATAATTTCAGGGTACGATTTGTCAATTACATTGTGACATAGTCTTCTTTTCCAACGGCTCAATACAGATAGCAGGTCACATTCGTGGATGTAAAGCAAATTAAACTGGGTAAGTATACAAATTTCAGACATTTTACAATCACAATCATTTTCATAAGTATCTTTTTTCATATCAATATAGTAATTTTAAAATTAAAACCCCCAAAAAATCAGGAAAAAAATTAAAATAAAACGACGAGCAAAAAATAGAGTAAAAATCTTTAACATGAAGAACAAATATAAAAAGTTTTAAAATCGTTTATTTCATTTTTCAATTTTGATTAACTTGTCAAAGAAAAATATATAATAACCTAAAGCAAAAAAGAAACAGATATGTTCTGAGACAGGGTATACCATTATTTCCTTATATTTAATATATTAAAATGGACATTTACAGATGAACTAACTGACGGATTCTTTTATAAAGAACATGCTTCCATGAAAGACATTATCTATTATTATGTTGTGAGCTTCCAAATTTCATATTTATAAAAACATTCAGCACTGAAAAAAATTTTGCTTATTAAAAACGTCGATAACAAACATTGTAAAATTCAAAAATATCATTCCAACAGCGGTCAATTCGGGTTGGCGAATTAACTCATTTCCACCGATCTTCCTCACAGATTTCAATGAACTTAATATTTTCATAACTAAAATACGTATAAAGAAGGGTTATAAATATCCTACATTGGCCGTAACTTTAACTACATTAAAAGACAAATACAAAGATATTATTATGTAAATATTATTCTACTGCGTGAAATTTGAAAAAAATAAAATGGTATTTCCTATTTCTCAAGCCGTTTTTCAGGATTGAAATTCGGTAAAGTTTATTTCGCTCAACATCGCTCTTTCTTGTACTGTTTAAAACGTTGCTATATGAAATCTATTGACAAGTTCAAACACCAATATTAGAATATATACGACGACAGGTTAATATATCAAATAGGGAGATGTGTATGATTGCGAATGTGACAACTATTTACCAGAGTCCAAATGACGTGGATTTAGGCAAATATACGTCATCTTCTGCCTTCAACAATACGCAAAACTCATACCGTATAGTCAGCTATAAAAAAGCCCAACATTACAAAATTCAAACAAAAAGATTAACGGCCTCATCTGTAACAAAAAATTAAACGGAAAACAAATATGGCCGTTAGCAACCACCGAAACCCTTGAAATACTGGCTTCAGGTTAAGTACTTTTAGCTTTTTTTTTTGGAAACATATTTTGATATGGTTATGTTTATAATTGTTTTATTTCTACTTTTGTTATTGTTATCTTTTAAGCTGTGATTATAAAGGTTAGTTCTTTTCCTGTACTGATATCTTCTTGCCCGCTAATCGGGATTAAAAGGGAGAGGGTCCGGAATGACTATTATAGAATTAGGGGGATTTAGAAGAAAGAGGCGAAAGAAACTGAAGGGACATTCAAACTAACTCATAAGTCGAAAATAAACTGACAACGCCATGGCTAAAAAGGAAAAGACAAACAGACAAACAACAGTACACAAAACACAACATAAAAAACTAAAGACTGAGCAACACGAATCCCACCAAAAACTGGGGGTGATCTTAGGTGCTCCGGAAGGGTAGGCAGATCCTGCTCCATATGTGACACTCGTAGATGCAACGAGCATGATGTATTATATAGACATATGTCTATTGTTGTAGACTACACGTTGACATATAATAATATTTGATAAATTGCGTCGTTGGGTAGTTGTAAAAACCATCTTTATGCAGCTTTTAAAAGTACAATATTTATGCTTAGTTTTTTACTAGACGATAATGCAAAATATTTGACCTGACGACAATCGTTTTTACTTTATTTTCATTTCATTTCTTTGATAATTTACTTTCCCATTTGTTTTTCATAAATACTTACATTTACGGTCATTTTAAACGTTGTTTAATCAGTACATTAGTAACAAGTATGGACACAGATCAATGTGGATAGTAATTGTTAATTTTGTACATAAGAAAGTACAATTATCCGCAAATCAAAATATGATATTCAAAAGCACATTTTGTTTTTCTACATAAAATGTTAGAGTGCAAGTGCGAGTGTTCATAATTTGTTTTATACTTAAACAACTAATTCCTGAGAAAGTTTTAAAGGTACATTTTGTTACATCTCATGTTTATCAAATACAAATTGGTACATATGATGTTATAACTCAAGTATTCCTTATTCTAAAGTTATAAATTATAATAGAAAAACAAAGGATATGGGGTATCCATTCATGACACAAAACCAGTACACCCACAGCAAAAAAAAAGCACAAAAAAGCAAAGGAACAGCGTTTTTATTACTGTTCTTCATCTCAATTCTATTTAATAAAACAATGGCCAATATTCATACATTTCTTGTTCTAGGAAGGGACAAATAGTACTTTATGAAAAAAAACACAATCCGATTCAAGCATACAAATGACGTCATCAAGAATTCAATGTTTGGATTGACATAGAATTTGTTGCGTATGGTGGACGTCTTTATGAAAAGAAAATCGTATAATAAGTAATAGGGAATAACATGTGTACAAAGAAATCAATGTCTTATCTCGTCTTATATCAATAATTGACTGTGATTGTCGGTTACGACAAGACATGACTTCGATTTTTTCATACTCGGATTTCCACGATATGCAGCAACATTCAAATTGCACATCCGTTAGGAGTATGTATACAGCATTTTTGCGCCTGTCCAAAGTCAGGAGCCTCTGGCTTTTGTTAGTCTTGTATGTTTTTAAATTTTAGTTCATTTATATGTTTTGGAGTTTAGGGTGACGTCCATTTTCACTGAACTAGTACACAATTTTATTTAGGGGCCAGCTGAGGACCACCTCCGGTTGCGGGATTTTCTCGCTGCGTTGAAGACCCATTGGTGGCCTTCGGCTGTTGTGTGCTCTTTTTTCGGGTTGTTGTCTCTTTGACATATTCCCCATTTCCATTCTCAATTTTATATCTCAATGCTAATAAAATATTTCATGAATATGTTCCATTTCGTAGCCAGAATACCATCTTCTTTTTTCTACAATATAATATCAACGAATATGAGTTATCATTGGAATAATGCACTCGTTCTCGCTCCTTTTATATTTTATTCGACTCCCTTAGTTTATGTTTCTTGCCTTGATTTGTTTCTTCTAAGTAGATTTACGATATTTGACCATCGGAAAAATACTGTCGCCTTATTAAATACGTATACTTTTTGTCATTTTCTCAAATAACGAATTGCTATTAAATATAAAAATAAGGATGATAGCGTATATAAGTATCAAGTTTATTTAGAAGATCACAAAATGGACATTACATCTCTCCACTGTAAGGTTCAAACTGAATATTGCAGGGTTTTCAGTTTCTTCTCTAAACATGTGCTATTGTCGTAATTATGAGATTTGTTTTTCGTTGTAGACATCACTATGATTGTGATTCCTGTTCTTCTGCTGGTGTCGTTTAGTTCCAAATCATCTGGTCAAGCTAATCAATGGTCCAATATTGAATCATTGGGTTCAAATGTTGAAACAGTTACTGGATGGTCTGAGGTAGCACCTACACCTACCGTCGATCCTAACACGTCCACTCCAGGTAGTACTATTAGCTCTCAATCACACACAGAACCTACAATAAAACGGAAACAACACAATATGAGAGGAGCAGGTTTTAGTGCCAGTGGCAAGCAAACATCTCTTTCTTTAGACAAGTCGAACACGCCAACATTCAACTATGTTGAAACAAGAAATAATCCAGTCGAAGCGACAAATACAAAGTTAGAAAAACCTGCAAACGAAATACCAGCTGTTCCTGTGCTGTACAAACCCGTAAATGTTGATGTTCTAGATAGTAATTCAATGAATACTCCAATAGTGATACCTGATACTCAAATAATAGAACTTAATCCTAATTCACCCCATGCTATGCGTATTTCGAAGGAAAACCAGTCTCGACTATCAAAACAACCTAGTATGTCTGCTGGTATCGAAATACCGATGAGAAATATGGAATCGAACACAGCATACTTCCGCGCGAGCAGTTCAGGGTCAAGGGTTGATTCCAATGTAAAAACTGATTATAAAAATAATATCATTATAATGGAACCTGTTCCAAAAGAAAATATTGTAGCTGCTCATGATAAACCCTATTCTGCTAAATTATCTGGTTTTAAGGAACCAAAGAGGACAGACCAAACGGACGCTAGTAAACCAGAACTGGTTAATGTTCGTCAAGAATACCTTATTGATGTAAAAAGAATAAGCAATGAAGTTCCACAAATTCCTCGAACGCCAAAAGAATCCATATTGACACCAACAGTTCATAACAACCCTCAAGTGGTTGAAATTCCTATAGATGGTACAATGAAATCAGAGGTAGGCATTGCAACAACATTAAATACAGAAAAATCATTTGCCAGTCAAGCAGTAAGCTCAAAAACAAATGAACCATTAAAAGGATCAGCATTTGAGGAACCTGAAACAGGAAAAATAGTGAAAACAAATATAGCAGCAAATGTTCAGGGAAGAGAAAATTCAGGGACTTTAGCAGATTCATCCATTGTCGACTCTAATAAGCCTTCGGGATCAGATAATAAACCGAAAATAGCCAAAGATGTACCCACATTTACTTATAAATTAGCTACGACAGTATCTCAAACCAATTCGATCAAAGGAAATAGTGTTGAAAATAAAGGTATAACAGAAGCAGTAGCCACTGGCGGTGAAACAGATAGTACATCTACCGGAACTAGTTCCAAAAATAATGGATTCACAAAAACAACGAGCAGTGCAAGTACGGGAACCTCTGAAATGAACAGTAAAACAGCATTTGAATTGCCTATTGAAGGACCTGTGAAGGATGCAAAATTAGTCAATGACGCTAAAGAATCATCTAAAACTTCTGAAACACACCTTGCATACCCATCTGAAACAAATGAAACAATCAGTGTACATCAATCAACAAGTGGAACAGTTTTAGAAGAACCTAATGAAGATACGACATTAGTCAAAGACGTGATACATCAATCTAAAACCTCTGAAACAATCAATGTACCTAAATCAAGTGGACTTGTTTTAGAAGAACCTAGTAAAGATACGACAGTGGTCAATGAAGTTGTAGTACAATCTAAAACACCTGAAACAATCAGTGTACCTCAATCAAGTGGAATTGTTTTAGAAGAACCTTATAAAGATACGACATTAGTCAAAGACGTGATACATCAATCTAAAACCTCTGAAGCAATCAGTGTACCTCAATCAAGTGGAACTGTTTTAGAAGAACCTAGTAAAGATACGACCGTAGTCAATGACGTGATAGATCAATCTAAAATCTCCGAAAAAATCAGTGTACCTCAATCAAGTGGAATTGTTTTAGAAGAACCTAGTAAAGATACGACCGTAGTCAATGACGTGATAGATCAATCTAAAATCTCGGAAACAATCAGTGTACCTAAATTTAGCGGAGCTGTCTTAGAAGAACCTAATAAAGATAAGACAATAGTAAATGATGTGATAAAACAACCAATTGATGAACAACGGTTAATTGATAAAGTTGTGAGGGGAGCTCCGACAGAAAATGTGGGAGTCAATGATGTGATGGAACAATTAACAACATTACAGGGATCAGCGACAACCAAAATTAGTTCAGATAATAACGTAGAAAGTCCAGCTGCAGAAAAATCAACATTATCTGATGCTACCTCATTTACTGAAAGTCGTACTGAAACTGGATCAAATTTGGTACTTCCTGATCAGAGTAAAGAAAAAGCAACAGTAGTATCTGGAAAATCGAGAGAACTAATTGATTTGAAAATAAACACCATAGCAAAAACTAATGATGGGCGTAACATGAATAAGAAAGAAATTGCCGACAAAAATAGTATTAACATAGGACCAATAGAGCAGGCACACAATAATAACGAACCTGGTGGACTGTCTATTCCAATGCCATTAGAAGACCTGCATGCAAGTGTTGTACAAAGTGTTGCCAGAGAAGGACCAATAGACCAAAATATTGCACAAGAAGTTGTAGTACAAAACACAGAGTTGCCTGTTCAACGCACAAACGAACATGCAAATACTAATGTGATCACTGACCCAGTAGATATAACCTTACCAGTTGATGGTACTTCTGTACATTTAGAAGAGAAGCTGTCTGAAAAATCACCTTCAAATGATAAAATATCAGTGAATGAAGGTGCCAGTTTGAATGAGCATGTCCCTATAGCTATTCATGATAAAGCAGCAACAAACATTGTAGCAGTTTTAAACAGCACGACAGCAACTAATAGTGAAGTAGTTTTGGATAGCAAGACAGCAACAAACATTGGAGCAGTTTTAGATAGCAAGCCAGAAGCAAACACCGAAGCAGTTTTGGATAGCAAGACAGCAACAAACATTGGAGCAGTTGTAGAAAGCAAGGTAGCAACCACTGATGTAGTTTTGGATAGCAAGGCATCAACAAACAATGTAGCAGTTTTGAGTAGCAATAAACCTGCAGAGACTCACGAAGTTTTCGAAAGCAAGGCGGAAACAAATACTGAAGCAGTTGTGGATAGCACGGCAGCAACAAACACGGAAGCAGTTTTAGATAACAAGACAGCGACAACAACTAAAGCAGTTTTTGATAGCAGGACAGCAATAAACACAGAAGTAGATTTGGATAGCAAGGCACCAATAAACACTGAAGCAGTTTTATATAACAAGGCAGCAACCCAAGATGCAGTTTTGGATAGCAAGGTACCAACAAACACTGAAACATTTTCGGATAGCAAAACAGCAACAAAAACTGAAGGAGTTTTGGATAGCAGTGTAGCAACAAACGCTGAAGCAGTTTTAGATAGCAAGGCAGTAACTACTGATGCAATTGTGGATAGCAAGGCATCAACGAACACTGAAACAGTTTTGGATAGCAATGCAGCAGCAAACACTGAAGCAGTTTTAGAAAGCAAAGTAGCAACCACTGATGCAGTTTTTGATAGCAATGCACCAATAAACACTGGAGCAGGTCTAGATAGCAAGGCAGTAACTACTGATGCAATTGTGGATAGCAAAGCATCAACGAACACTGAAACAGTTTTGGATAGCAATGCAGCAGCAAACACTGAAGCAGTTTTAGATAGCAAAGTAGCAACCACTGATGCAGTTTTTGATAGCAATGCAGCAACCACTGCTGCAGTTATAGATAGAAATGCAGCAACAAAAGCTGATGTAGTTTTGGATAGCAATGCAGCAACAAACACCGAAGCAGTTTTAGATGTCAATGCAGCAATAAAGACTGAATCAGTTTTTGATAGCAAGGCTATTTCAATCGATCAGGCTACTGTTGATTCTAAGGACAAATCTTTCTTACAGACCGATTCTTCTAACTTGAATGATCAAACTACACAGAGTGAACCTCTAAGATCACTTGATATATCAGCAAATAATGAAGTTTCAATGTCCAATAACCAGGCACAAAGTGCATTACAAAACCTACAAACCATGGATGCAACAGTACCTGAAAGTAAGTTAACAAAGTCTCCAAATGTTGAGGCTATTATTATTCCAGCGACGTTCTATGAGGACAAAGTTGACATTTTAAATCAACAGATAGCAGATGCTGACGTTATACGTACAAATGCGTTGGATAAATCTGAAAGTTCATTTGTAAATAATTTGGGTCAATCTGTTGAATCTAAAACCGTAGATTCAGGAAAATCTGATCTGCATGGAGATTCTAAAGGAGAACTCTCAGATACGCTTGCTCTTTCACAAGTTGCTGAGAAGCAATTCACAGATAAGTCAGGCCCACTTAAAAGTTATGAAACAAAAACTCTACAGACATCAGATCAACTCGCTGGTAAAGAAGGAGTGGTTGTATATATGCCGAGACAAACACAAGCTGCTACCGGAACAGTTTTGGATCAGCAAGATACATCTATATTAATTAAAGAGGTGCCTGTGGTACAATATGAAGCAACAGATGCAATTTCTACAGTGTTAGAAACTTCAACGTTAGTTGACGGTATTATACCATTCACAACGGAAAAGGATATTTCTGACAAATCATATACCCAAACTACAAAGCTTGAATCGACGATCTTAATGGAAACAACTGAAGGTAAACAGACAATATCTGATCAGTCAACCAGCTTAAAAATTAGTGACAAACTGGTCAAACCTGTTCCAAAAAAAATGATAAAAGATACTACTGATGGCGCACAGTCTATACTGCAGACAAAGTTTTCTGAAGAGTTATTGCAACAACAACCTCTAGTGGAAGGATCTCCATCAATTAATCAAACCATGACATCTAAAGATGTCGATGGGGTCGTTGTTAAAGAGTATTCTTCAAAAGCAGTTGAAGGTCAGACTGATTTAGTGTTTTCAGCAACGCCAGACAAAGTAGATATCATCCCAGTGTCTCATGAAACAAACACAGTTAAGAAGATTGATGAAACTCCACAGTATGAATTGAAAGGTCTTGCGAATACAGAAAAGTATGACCTGACATTCGAAACAGCAAAAAAAACAGACACTACTGAACCTATGGTAAAAACAACCTTATCACCATTTTTTGCTAGTGAATCACCATCTGTGCCAATAATGGATGAACAAAATACAAAAACTGAATCAATTAAAATAGCAGACACTACTGAACCTGTTGTAAAAACTACCTTATCACCATTCATTGCTAGTGAAGCACCATCTGTGCCAATTATTGATGAACAAAGTTTAAAAACTGAATCAGCTATAATAGTAGACACTACTGAACCTGTTCTAAAAACCACCTTATCACCATTCATTGCTAGTGAAGCACCATCTGTGCCAATAATTGATGAACAAAGTTTAAAAACTGAATCAGCTATAATAGTAGACACTACTGAACCTGTTCTAAAAACTACCTTATCACCATTCATTGCTAGTGAATCATCGTCTGTGCCAATAATGGATGAACAAAATATAAAAACTGAATCAGTTAAAATAGCAGACACTACTGAATCTGTTGTAAAAACTACCTTATCACCATTTATTGCTAGTGAAGCACCATCTGTGCCAATAATTGATGAACAAAGTTTAAAAACTGAATCAGCTATAATAGTAGACACTACTGAACCTGTTCTAAAAACTACCTTATCACCATTCATTGCTAGTGAAGCACCATCTGTGCCAATAACTGATGAACAAAGTTTAAAAACTGAATCAGCTATAATTATAAAAACTACCTTATCACCATTTATTGCTAGTGAAGCACCATCTGTGCCAATAACTGATGAACAAAGTTTAAAAACTGAATCAGCTATAATTATAAAAACTACCTTATCACCATTCATTGCTAGTGAAGCACCATCTGTGCCAATAATTGATGAACAAAGTTTAAAAACTGAATCAGCTATAATTATAAAAACTACCTTATCACCATTTATTGCTAGTGAAGCACCATCTGTGCCAATAATTGATGAACAAAGTTTAAAAATTGAATCAGGTAAATTAGCACCAGAAACTAGACTAGTTGAGCAAAAGAAGGAAGTTGTCGATTCAACGGCAACACAGCAAAAACAAATCAACACAGTATCACAAACAAAAGGATCTGAGAAAGCAAATATAAAACATGTCGATCAAACACTTGAAAATCCCGATTTAAGTATACAAGGTAAAGCAACTGAACAAAAAATAACAATTACAGATCAAGCAGTAGTTGTTAAAGATACAATACAGACAAAAAAAACCGACAAATTGCCCACTGAGACAAAAATACTTTTACAAACGCTTGAACGAACTGGCAAACCAGCCACTGAAGTAACACAGAAAACTGCAATGCCAAAAAGATATCTCGCTGAAACAGGACCTGAAAAATCTCAACAACAACTAGGACTTGAAACAACCAACGTAAGAGCGACCGAATCAAAACCTGTAAAAGAATCAAGAGTAGCGTGGAGGAAAAATGAACCAATAAACGAGCTCTCAAGGGATTTATATCACAGAAGTATGCAGATTCATAAAAAAGCAGATCACATGAGCAATAAATTTGACATTTCCAAGGGGGCTGAAGCAACATTTGGTGTCAACAAAGACAGAAAACAAAATCTAGTGCAACAATATGAACCAGAAATGACGTCTCCAGCTTTAGAGAGTAAGTAATTTTTCTATCCAAGGTCCAATACAAGTTTATGCGGAGTACGCATCAATGAGAACACAAGATAACTACACTATTAATCAAAAATTACATTAGACTTCATGTCAGTTCATACGGTCAATGGCTAGAAGGCCAAAATGTCCAAACGACATCATATTAATGTATAACTAAGAAGAAGATTAGAAGTCAACTTTGATAAACACATGACCAATTCAATAACGATATTTCAACACATTCATTATGTTACAAAATTTAACGTATGAAAAGTAAGTAAAATCTTAATGAAAACGTAAATCACAGATCTAGAAATACTCGAATGAACAAAAAAAGAAATTATTTACAAACTTTGCCTAACTCAAAACAATATATATAAAATAATATAAACAATGAGACCATTTACTTATGAGTGGTTCTTCACATGAGCTGCATTTTAATCCAATATACGCATTTTAAAACTTGTCTTTAAAACAAATGCAATCAAATCTTTTATTGTAGCTTTATGTGGCAATAGTATGTTTATTGACGGAATAGGTTATGCCGAGTATCCTGGGTATTGTGATAAATTAGTTCAGTGTTACACATATCAGCGAAGAACTACTGCTGTGCAAAGAGAATGTCCGTATGGATATTTCTGGCACCAGGACCAAGTATTATGTCGACCGCCAGCGGAGGTTCCTTGCTATGATGGTAAATAGTATTCATTTATAAAACATGCCTCACAAGTAACATTATATATATATATATCTTTATTCCTCATGAAGGTGAAACCGGTAAATATAATTATGTTACGCAGATAATAAATAACGCCAATTTTACAAATTATTTTTGATATCCATTTACATATTGCGTACGTTTTACTAATATTTATTCTTATAAATGCCTTAGTTTAAACTGAATCTTTTTTATTGAAATGAGAGAAGGTTGTCCTTCGAATGTTAGTCATTTATTCCTATGTTTGTTATATTTGAATAATTACAGTTCGAATAAGACTCATGTTAAAACTTTTAAGCAGCAAGTAAGAAACTTGCCAATTTTTTAACATGATTTCAAAAACAAATGGTAATAACACTTCTTAAATTTTATTTTTAAATGCGTTCGAACCGATTATTTTCATCAGGAATGACGAAAACCAAAGGATGTATAAGCACGAAACACGTATAGAGCTATACAAGTACTACGGAGGACATGTATACCGCCGCTTTGTAATCACATGTGTATATTGTTGTTGATATTTAACCCTTCATATACAGATAAATACATGGCCTTTTCATTATCGGCTAGAGTACCATTCCGGAACCCCCATATCAACACGAGACGTTAGTATAAGTTATATATATAGCACGCCTTTAACGAATTAACGTGTTTAATTCACGAAAAGCGTAGCTTTGCGTGGATTAAATATGTAATTAATGAGTAAGGCGTGGCTATATATGATTTGTAACATTAATGGGCTATGACACACGTCAAAGGTTAAATGCTGACCAATAAAACTTTAATGTACTTTTCAATATGTCAATCAAATAGTGGCGTGATACTATATCTGATTTCCAGAAAGTTAACACATGCAGCAAATGTCAGTTGGATTTGTATGTCAGATACAGGTACATTTAAATGAATTGATGCCGTGGTATTCAGGCTCGATAGCCATTTACTTGTTATTAATATTTTTTCTACCCAAAAACTCTTGAAAAGTGGGGACGGGGGGGGGGGGGGGGGGGGGGGTTGCTGGCGGGTGATGCAAAATTTATTTCGATGTTTCTCTGCCCTCCAACTCGAAAATGAAGTGTAGTTTCAAATGTTGCAGAACACTTGTCCTACCTCTATGACAAATATGTTGTTGTCCCCGCAGATAAAGCCCCAAACAACATCGTTTTTGTGTGTAAATATCATTACATAAACTGCTTGATAAATGAATTGGGTATTGACAATTCACTTGGAAACTCAACATATACCCTCACGACACTTACCAAAGAGGAAATCCTGGATAATCATAGGTCTGTTCTATGTTCCTCTGGAATTTCAACCAAAGATGAAGAACTGGATCTTCCATCACTGTATTGGATACCTAAACTACATAAGTGTCCTTACAAACAACGGTATATTGCTGGGTCTTCCAAGTGCTCCACGAAACCTCTTTCAAAATTATTAACATCTATTTTATCTGCAATCAAAGCCGGGCTCCAAAGTTATTGTGAAACTGCCTATTCTAGAGGTGGCGTGAATCAGATGTGAATACTAAAAAATTCCAAAGATCTTTTAGAGTACATACAATCTAAGACTCTCTCTCATCTTGCAATAGTATTAAAACATTTGACTTTTCTACACTTTACACAAGTATTCCCCATTCCAAAATTTCCTTGATAGAGAATTGCTGCTCACAAGGAAGCTATTAAACCAAGAGTTCCAAAATGGTGAAGTTGAAATCATCCCTTCATAAATTTTACGGACGCCATCACGAGTTGGTTGACCGTTATGGAATAACCGTTTCACAGATGATATCGGATATGTTCCTTATGTCGTAACTACAATACCCTCCCTTTTCACGAATAAGACTTACCAAACTAGACTATTTATCGGATTTGTAATAACATAAGCAACACGACGGGTGCCACATGTGGAGCAGGATCTGCTTACCCTGCCGGAGCACCTGAGATCATCCCCAGTTTTTGTTGGGGTTCGTGTTGCTTAGTCTTTGGTTTTCTATGTTGTGTCATCTGTACTATTATTTGTCTGTTTGTCTTTTTATTTTTGGCCATGGCGTTGTCAGTTTGTTTTCGATCTATGAGTTTGACTGTCCCTCTGGTATCTTTCGTCCCTCTTTTTCAAAGGAGTTTTATCGTTGTGATAAAAAGGAAACATTTTCTAATACCAATTATGAAGATAATTAAATACTATTCTTCCATTCCCAGGAACTGGAAAAAGATCGGTTAATTGATTGCAATGGTTGCATGTTGAATGCGTTTAAGATCCAGGGACAAGTATTTGAAGCATGATCAATTCACGGAGATAGGCTTTTATAGAATGAAGAAAATTACTAAACATCCAGTGACATATATTTTTTAGAATATTATTAATTTCGACACGAGAAAAACAGGTATCCAACCGAAATAACAGTAGGAAAATTTATAGTCATTCCTATTACATTTTGTTTTATTCTTTCATGAAGTTGATGAATTAAACGACTAAAATTCCAGTGACAATTTTTTTGAAATATTTATATTGTCACGATAAAACAAGTATCCACCAATTTATCAATATCGCCTCTTCGTTTATAGACCACGTTATTCCTTTTTGTAGCTCTCCTTGGGCATTCATTTGTTTCAAGTACAATGTATAGGGAACCATTTTTGATTAAGGGTTAGGTTTACAAGTTTGGCTAGTGTAAGGGTAAGCCCCCTCACCCCCCCCCTCCTTTTTTCTCATCTTTTTCATTGTTTACTAGGTCAAGGAGGCGGAGCTAGACAGTGAAATAAAAACTTTTGAGATGAAAGTTAGAACACTGGTCTAAGCCCGAGTCCTCCCATTCTTTGCTTTTCCTATGACAAGCGACACACGGCGGGACTGGAGAGTGCAATAACTAAAAAAAACATTCAGTAAACGCACTCCTCTAAAAATAACCGAAGTTAACTCACTCGAAGATCAAAGGAAAAATTACCATTCATGTAACAATTAATGTTGATGCTAAGTATATGATAAATATTATATACTTAGTAGAAAATACAGGCAATTGTATGTGTAATACGTCAACGGGAATCGTGTTGTATCAACTATCCGTGGTGATATCGATGTCATTCACTGTTGCAATGGCTTTATCAAACCCCTAATCTGTATGACGTCATGTCACATAAAAAAAACATCTACGTGAGGTATATATATAATAAAGTGTATATGATATGACATTTTTCAAAATCACACACCGTATCAACCCTCAACCAATATAATCCCTCGAGCAGAGCTCTTGGAATTACATAAGTGTCTCAGGTTGATACGGATGTGATATTGAAAAAGCCATATGATTTTCTCTCTTTAGCATAAAGTTACCATTAATATGATAGTTTTTGCATATGTTTAATGAGTCATAAATTCACACCCAGGCTGATAACCCATATCAGAGACCTCTCGTGCAAACAACCCGTCACAGTGCCTCTCGCGCAAGTTACTTACGGTATTTCTGGTGTCGTCTGTTTACAACTAATACCTGACACACAAAGGCATAACAGAGGGTGATCGGTTTATAATGTTGCAACTGTGCTATAGACGTATTTACACTTTTGTTATGCCTTAAAATGAAATATTATTTGCTTCACTTTCAGATCCATGTTTGGATATAGATATGGTTCAATACAACAGAACAGGTGGGTGTCGTTCTTACTATCGCTGTGACTACGGTATATCCGTTCCTCAATGTTGCGAGAAAGGTTTCCGTTATGACAGCTATGGATGTGTACCAGACCCAACATGCCGTGACCCCTGTATGACTCCTTACGACCTTGAAAATCGTATGCGGTTTCAATGTAAGTTTATTAGTTTTCAATAGAACACAATGCAGCCTTTATATGCCATTCAAATATTCTGTGTAAATATTTTGAATAGATACAGTCTCCATGTTTCACAACAAAAAAATGAACACATCTTATAAAAGAGTATTAATCATAACTTGCCTATTCGATGCTTGCTAAAGATAATCATAACTTATCTATTCAGTTCTTCCTTGAAGAATTTGTACACAGAACGTGTTAGCAACTTTTATCTATCAAATATATGCCAGAACATGAGACGACGATAAACTGATATTGTTTTACTGTAAACAACTTACAGTTCTCACAGCCTTTTCTGCAAAAATAATGTGCACATTAACAGTACAAATTTTATGGTACCGGATGCGCATTTCGACAACTTATTTCTCATCAGTGATTCTCGAGACCATACTATTTGAAAGTCCAAAACCTAATACAAACATTGAAGAGGAGACAATGACAATCATATAATTAAAATAAATCATAACCTGTAGCTTTTAAAATTTGTTCATGTATCTCGAATACGCTTATTCGACAACCGTTTGCGCACGTCTGGATTAACTTTAAATATAGGGATAATATACATATATTGTGAATGTAAATAACACTTTATACTTTCGTTGGTCCAAAGCGCTTTTCTATATTGACCATATTTTTAAATATCTAAATACAATTGTATCTATTGAAAAGCTCTCTATGTGATGTAAGTGATCATAATTTTGGCCTCTAGCATCACTGACGAGACATTAATTTCGAAATGCGCATAAAAATTGCTACCGTAAATGCTAATTTTTATTAAAAATGATTGTTTGGCAAACATGGCGGTACTATTGAAAGCGGTATAACTTTTGACTTTATGTTGGAGAAAAGTTGATACAAAGTTAGTTCCTTCCCCTGTTGTTATCTGATCTCAGAAGGCGCTTCCGTTGCAGATAATTATATAGAAAGTGGCAGGAAAATTTGGAAACTGAAATTACTTCAGGGATGACTTCCACCTTAGTAATATTATAATTATAAATAACTTGCAGGTGTTTTCTTTGTGAAGTCCTTACGCATATTTAATCAATCAGGGTTTGGAACATGGGTGAATATTTTTTTTAAATTGTAGCATACAATATTAGTTTCACGATGTGCTAGTGACCCCATGTATATCGTATTAGGTCACTAGCACACTCTGTAACGAATTTATCTTAACATGTGACATTTAGACTAGTGGTCTATCAAAGTGATCAAGTCTTCAATATAAAGAACCTATATACTTCCATTGGTCTATACAAAAACAAATGCCAACAATAAAAATTGTTAGCTCTTAATGTGTTTTTGCTTTTATTTCAATCGTTCATCATCAATTTCTTCATCTGTTGAATGGGTGAAATGTTTCAGATTTTTCCTCAACGCCGTGTTGTTTTATAAAGGGAAATAACACCAATACTAACCGTGTATTAAAATAAACTACGCCTTCTATCCCCATATTGAATATACAGGGTCTCCACGCCATCGCTTTTAACCCAATGATATTCCTAGAAATATACAGGATTGACATCTTTATTTTATTGCTATGTATTTGTCACTAAAATAAAGCATTACCTTCTAACAGCATGTAAATTCTTGCCTGATGAATACAATCCATATGGCTATCTTACAATGGAACATAATGGATTAAGAATTCGAGCTTGTCCAGAAGGAACAGTATTCAGTGCAAGACAGTGTGGATGTAGATCAGGAAATCGGCGCTCTGGTAGACGCAGAATGAAAGGTTAGCATCATTAAAATTGCCATTAAACACTGTAAACCATCTTATTTTCGCGGATACTTTCTTTCGCGTTTCGCCAGTTTTATAGTCCACATCGGGCTATTTAAGTTCGCGATTTTCAAATGTACTTGATGTAGTTAAATAAGGAAAGATCCAAATTTTACAAGTTTGCAACGATTTATATTCGCGTTTTTTTTTCTACTCGCGAAAGTCGCGGAAATAAGTAGGTTTACAGTACGAAGTCAATAAAAGCTGTATTGCTTTCTAAATACAAAAAAAGAAGTAATTCAGCAAAAGGACTGTATATCCTATGTAGAGATAGTCTGGATTAAAATGTAAGTTCGAAGTAACCATAAGTCAAATTTATCAGGAACATTGTATTTCTGAGATTTTCAACTTTCGAGGACTATTTCTTCCGAAGTGTTTCATATACATGTAGTGTATATACAAGTCTTTAAAATATTTGTTTAACGATACCGATTAGAGATATTAATATGCGAAAAAGCTGAAACTATATCGTATAAAAAGGCGATTATTTCTCACAACAAATGACCTTTGTCGGTATCGGTCTTTTTGAAAATGATGGTATACGTGTGAAGGAACTCTTATCCCCATATAACGAACTAAATTTCTTAGCAAAATTATTGAACTTCATAGAACAAAAAAGGGTCTTTGGTATTATATTAATTACCACGCCATTTTGAACTCCAAAATTTTGGAAATCCATGTAGTCTTCCACAAACCTATAGGAATAGGGGTGATCTCCCAGTGTGCATGATTAAAATTTAACAAATCTTCATTTATCAAGGCTAATGAACAATTTTTCTAAACTGTAAAAAGAATATATGTAATAAAAAGTAAATATTTCAAGATCTTTCTCTTATATATTCAAACAATTGTCAACAAATTATTTTTGACTGTTGTCCTGTGACTTTTTGTCCTATCAAATTTGTGACTTTCTGTCTTGTGACTTTTTGTCCTGTGACTTTCTGTCCGCTTACCATATAGAAAACCTTAATATCTATTTACCTTAATTTTAGAAATTTTCATTATATTTTGTGACGTCATCAGTTGGGCATGAATTTTTTTATGCTCGACTTAATCGATTTATCGGAACATAAAATTGAGAATAGAAATGGGGAATATGTCAAAGAGACAACAACCCGACCAAACAGCAGAAAACAGCCGACGGCCACCAATGGATCTTCAACACAGCGAGAAAATCCCGCACCCGGAGGCGGGCTTCAGCTGGCCCCTTAACAAAATGTGTACTAGTTCAATGAAAATGGACGTCACACTAAACTCCAAAACATATAAATGAACTAAAATTAAAAAACATACAAGACTAACAAAGGCCAGAGGCTCCTGACTTGGGACAGGCGCAAAAATGCGGCGGGGGTAAACATGTTTTGTGAGATCTCAACCTTCCCCCTAATACCTCTAGCCAATGTAGAATAAACAAACACACAGTAATACGCACAGTTAAACTCAGTTTAGAAGAAGTCCGAGTTCGATGTCAGAAAAGATAACTTAAGAAACTAAGCAAAATGACAATGATACATAAATTAACAAGGGACTACTAGCAGTTACTGACATGCCAGCTCCAGACCTCGATTAAACTGATTGAAAGATTATGTCTTCATCATATGAAAATCAATAACAATCCCTCCCGTTAGGGGTTTAGAATCATACCATCATAAAATATACCAGAAGAGATAACCCGTATCAAGCCAACAACTGGTTTTAGAATAAATGTGTTTATTTCCGAAGCAAAGACCCTATGAGTGAATCAATATTGATACCAAAATATGCCATCTTTAATCATCGGAACTGACAACAGTATCATAACAGTATCCCTTCTGAATATATGTTTATTTCGGGTTATTTCAAACGTCGCACATAAACGTTATATACACGAGGGTCTAGATGGGGTTTACGGAATAGAGAATAATAGCAAAAAATATATAGAATGTAGAATAATTGGATGTAAACGAATAAAGAATAACTGTTGATAATAAAAGAATTAGGGAATCAAATGCTGAATAAAGAAATGAACGATGCAGAGGCTGATTTAGGGGCCTAGTGTGCCCCTCTTTTGTGGGAAAAAAATTGGTTGATTTAGGGAATCACTGAAGCATGACTAAGCGGGCCCCCTCTTATGGCAGTCAGTGGGCCCCCTTATGATAATTTCTTAATCCGCCACTGCAATGTACGGAATAAAGAAATCATCGAATTTACAGAGAAATTATTTACATGAGAATTTTACCGAATAAGCATTATTTTAAAGATAAATTAAAAGAATACAGATATTAAGGACTCCATCTAGATCCTCATACCTCATTGATTCTCAAAATTCCTTTTTTTTTCTTACAGAATGTCAGCCAAATTTTTACATGAATTTCAATTACGGATTTAAGGAGTTGTCAGGTTCTAACATGGCGTTTGACGTACACAACGTTGTAATCAATGATGGTGCTGCACAATTCAATGGAAACGGGCGCATAACTCTGTGGGGATTCATGAATAAAGAACTTGGAAAAAAATTTGCCATTCGAATACGATTCAAGCCAGATCCAAAAGCAACAGGAAAAGGAAATTTGATTTCGAACTGCGGCATGACTGGTACCGCAACAGTTGCAATAGGATTAGAAAATCATAAAGTGAAATTAGTAGCTAAAAGTAACAGTTTTAGTAGAAGAACCATTATCAATAGTCATTTCGATGTAAGTAACACTTAGATATACACCAAAGTCCTTGATACCTACTATACATTATACCTTAAATAACTATGGTTTAAAGGGACGAGTTTTCCTTCAATTCATTTGCAATCTTGCAATTGAAAATAAAAATTCGATAGAGAGTACGTGTGATTCTCCTCATGTACGTTCTAAATGATGAGTATTCAAGGAGAAACACGCGTTGAGCGCAAAGCAATCGGTACGATACCTTTCTTCCTTTTTTTTTGTTCTTTTTTTTTTTTTTTTTTCTTGTTTACTTTTTTGCATGAAATCGGATGATTGTATATCAATTTGTACTTGTAAGGAGCATTTCTATGCTGTGCGTGGCGAACATTTAGGGTATAATGAACCCTTATTTAAAAACTAAAATATGTTCGTTTAAATATTTCTAGTTAAAACAGTTTTGTTTTCTTATTCCATAAGTCCTAGACGGTCATATCTTAAACATATTGCAATCAGTTGCATTTGTACGGGTTTTTTTATTTAAACCTTTGAATCTGTCAACTTCACTTTTTATCACATTATATGTTCATGCCCTTTTTATAGGTCTGTGGCCCTCTGCCATCAGTTTCCAGCTAGTACACTGTGTATGATGGTTACAATTGTAATGCAAACATAATTTATTTTATAGCCATACTCTTGGAATGACGTTACATATGTGTATGATGGTAACAGTTTTGTTGCTGCAATAGACGGTTATAGATCTAGAAAGCCGTTGGGAGGTAAGATTTGAATTTGTATGAGTGTTTACATGTCTTCATTGATTGATTGATTGGTGTTAAACGCCACTTTCAACACTATTGTGCTATTTCGTGGGGGTCAATTTTTATTGGTGGAGGAAGCCGGAGTGCCTGGAGAGAACCACCAACCTTCGGTAGGAAAACTAACAGTCCTAGTCAATTAAGATTGGAGTTGAGTGCAACTACCACGTGCAGGATTCGAATTCACAACCTCAGTGTTGACAGGCTAGTGATAAAATAGTTCGACTACTTAGACCACTTTGTCCTCGGTTTATAATTCGTGTCAATTGTTTTTGTAACAAGTTTAAAACCTGTCCTTTTGAAATTCTTAACATGACTAATGAAATTGATATTTATAGCATGGTGTTTTTTTATATGTGACAAGACATTATTCAATATTGTTTTTTTTTAATTTTCAGGTTTACTAGAAACAAGATCAAATGCTATTGTAATAGGCGGCTGTCCTAAACCTGGTTCAGGATACAAAGGTTTAATAGATAGTGTAAGTGAAATATAATTTTTCAATTTATCTCAATGGGAAAAGAAAGGGGATGAGTAGACCAGGTTTTGTAATTTACTGTGATAACTTTAGTTGACTTCCTTCAAACGCAGAATTTCATTTGATTTGACTTGACAGGTGTCTGAACTGAACTTTCAGTAACAAAATGTCAACACAATGTCGATTTTCTAAGTATTTAACGAACTGTACATGCTGTACTCGACCGTCTTAACTGTACTAAATGAGATCATCTACATCGTGTATAATCGAGTATATATTTGATTCAATTTGGTCTCGAAAAGTTTCGGCTTAGCTATATGTGCCAAGAACAGTCAAGAATGCTGACTATCATTCAAATCATATTCAAGTACATTTTAGCGTTTGAGACATCAGAAACATATTCTAACTAGTCAAAAAATTTACTAAATTTTATCATCGGTACAAGGACATCATTCGTAAATATAAATTAACATGCAGACTTATACGTTCAGGTATTTCACATCCAATCTTTTATGGTAATATTCTTTACAAAGCACAAAAATGTCGGCATTCACCTCAAAAGCTAACCAAACCTTTAAACAGACTTATTCGGAAGGGATATAGTTACGATACTGTTGTCAAGTCATTAAGGATTGCATATTTTGGTATAAATATTGATTCACTCATAGGGTCTTTGCATCGGGAATAAACACATTTATTCTAAAACCAGTTGTTGGCATGATACGGGTTATGTTCTCATATATTTTATGATGGTATGATACTAAACCCCTAACGGGAGGGATTGTACTTGATTTTCATATGATGAAGACATTATCTTTCAATCAGTTTAATTGAGGTCTGGAGCTGGCATGTTAGTAACTGCTAGTAGTCCTTTGTTAATTTATGTATCATTGTCATTTTGCTTAGTTTCTTTTGTTACCTATTCTGACATCGTTCTCGGACTTCTTCTAAACTGAGTTTTACTGTGCGTATCGCTGTGTGTTTGTTTATTCTACATTGGCTAGAGGTATTAGGGGGAGGGCTGAGATCTCACAAAACATGTTTAATCCCGCCGCATTTTTGCGCCTGTCAGGAGCCTCTGGCCTTCGTTAGTCTTGTATGTTTTTTTTAATTTTAGTTCATTTATATGTTTTGGAGTTTAGTATGACGTCCATTTTCACTGAACGAGTACACATTTTGTTAAGGGGCCAGTTTGACCAGCTCCGGGTGCGGGATTTTCTCGCTGCATTGAAGACCCATTGGTGGCCTTCGGCTGTTTTCTGCTGTTTGGGCGGGTTGTTGTCTCTTTGACATATTCCCAATTGCCATTCTCAATGTTATCTATCGATTTAAGGTAGTTTAACTGTATACCGCCATCTTGGATTGTAAAATAGCAATACGTAATCGGTCTAGTTCTTTGCTTAAATCTGCAAATATTTAGACAGATTGGCAATAACGTGTAAGACTGTTCGTTTAAATAAGAAAAAATAAGCAATTTATTGCATTAAATTGTCTGTTTTTAACAAATACTAAATATTTGTTTTTGTGCGATTCAATTTTTCAACAAAGTCATAAAAGGGGAGATAACTCTTAAAGAATTTTTTTTACACTGGAATGATAGTGATTTTTTCATTTTTTACTTGTGGCAAGGAAACAAGTTAGGTGACACCATTTTTTCTTTTTATTTTCTAAAGCATATTATAAAACCTATCTTCTCAATTATTTTTTTTTTTTCAAAATTCTATCTCATAGATTTCTTTTTATTCACAAAAAGTGTCTTCTTCATAAATAACCTATACAAAATTCGGCAATTTTGGACGACTTGTAGCTTGACAAAATATCATGGTGACTCATACTTATTATAATATTTTTTTTAAAAAAGCATGATAAAGTCTCCTTTTTGGCAAAGTAAAAGAAAATTATATCTGAGGAATATCTAGTGATGATCCACCTATAGGCGCAAGTGATTTAGAATGATTTTCATCATGTACGTTTTAGTGCAAAAGTTCGAGAAGACACATGCTTAAAACGATTGTGAGCATCGAGTAAGATTAAGACTTTTCCAGCTTGGTCAATACAGCTGAGTGAAAACAATTGTTTAATTGAAGTTAATCACACCGTATATGTTTTTGTACGACCGCCTCTGTGGTCCCGTGGTGGCATGCTTGCATCGGGTGCGGGAGGACGTGGGTTCGATACCCAGACGGGTCAAACCAAAGACTTGAAAATATGAGTTTACTGATTCTCCTCTAAACCGGTGACATTTCGGACTAGACTGCTCGAAGTCTGGAATATGTGTCCGCATAGGCTGATAAGTATTTGTATGGACTATCACTTTATGAACTAGCACGTTGAAAATTTGAATCAACGTGTCGGTGATATTACATTTGCATGTTCTTGTTCTGATATACATGAAATGTTTGTCACTCGACGTTGAAGACTTTTACATCCATTCATCATATATTTTTACAAACTGTAGAAAATATATAAGTTTCTTGTTGAATTCCAAATGTTTTGTGCCTACTTAGACATTGCCCTTGTCTTATACTGCTATATAATGATTTATTTCAAAACAGGGTGGAGGGATTCAAGTTCCACATCTGTTTGCAATAATTATGTTGAATGACATTTGTTTTCATTTTATTTTCCAGATTGAAGTATTTAGTGGTTGTATTCCAAGAAATATTTACAAACCTCGTAAACAACGGTGAAATCCTTAAAACATCTTTAACAGAGCTGGTTCTTTGTTAATTTATGTGATAGAATAGCAGTCGTAGGACCAACAGTTGAGCAGTTTTACGTAGAATGACATAATGATATTTGATTGAATTTCATATGACAAGAAGGAGTGAATTTGGATTTTCCTGTTTTCTGATTTTAACAACACTTATTTCTGAAAAAAAATGTCCCATTCAGACTTAAGTTTAGCATTTTAGCGAGCAGTAATAGTCTGCAGGTATAGATTATCATATAAGCACCTTTCGATATTTTTTTAATAATCACATCAACTTATATGTCCACGCAAACTCTATTTGGTGTATGCCCATCAAACGCTACATATATCCGAAAGACCGCACTTTATATCGTGAACAAGCAAATTTTATTTTATATTGTTATTTTATAATTATATTGTTGTTACTTCATTTCTCATTTTAATCATTTTTATGCAAATAAAACAGTATTACATGCCTATTTTGGATTTTACATGTTTTTTTATTGTTTAATTAATGTATACTTGTGGTTTTAATTAAAATTCCACTTGTATACGTTTAAAGCTCACGATATAATGTTAATCAGCGTTAAATAGTCTGTAGGATAACTTAATTTACTGTCCCATTCTACCTAGTTGTCACATACATGGCACGGTCAGAACGTTTGGTAGGATGAATCTTATTCATATAATTTTTCATTCTCTGTTTTTCGTTATATGAATCACATTGTTTTAGTTCTATAATTATATTACGATATATATGCGAGAAAATGAAGCGTTTAATTAAGTAGTTTCTGTAGTGATTATTTATTGACATTGTATTGTCCTATATTTGCTTTGTAATTTGTCTAAATAAATTGTCGAAATTGTTACATAGACTTGACCAATGACAAAATGTTATAAATTCATTTATTTTTTTATTTTCATAAAAGATCTCCTTTTTTCTGACAACTCATCACGTCATAATAACATTACTTGATACAGATACAGTTAAGCCTGCTTCATATCTTGACTTACATCTAAGCATTGACAATTAGGGTCAATTGAGAACAAAACTTTAGGACAATAGTGATGATTTCAGCTTCCTAATTGTAAACTTTCCATTACTATGTAGAAACATTCCAGCAGCGCCTGTATATGGAGTATATATCTCCCAGTTGATACGATACTGTAGTTCTTTAAGACTCTCGCTTTTAATTCTTTAGTGCAAATAAAGAAGATGTGGAGTATACGTCAATGAGACAGTAACCCAACGAGAAAATATCCAATAGATATCTAGAAAGAAACACTCTATCTTCAACAATAGACAAGTGTCTATACAATAAATCAACCTCTCCATCGTTATAAGACGTATTTACACATGGTGTTTTAGCTGATTTTTGTCTCCGACTCTGAAATTACCTTCTGACGTCAAGCAACAATCTCTTTTAAATTGGAAAACAAAACACAAAATAATTAACCAACTATAAATTATTAAAGAATGTTGGCACTTACCGAAAAAAACCTGCTCCTACAACATCATGCCTCCCGTACTGTACCTCATACAAGATTTCGTACAGCAACGTCATAAATAGAACAGAAATGCGTGTTTGTTAGCAATGGCCAAAACAAACTATAAAGAAAAAATATTTCGTATATAGCTTCAAACTATCAATTAACGAATTGATATTGATCCCCAAAATACCAGACTCTGAACATATCCATGTTTGTCTTTTTCGGACATTACACAGATAAATTAGAAGATATCCGGGTGCATTTCTGTTGAAAATAAGGACGACAGAAGATTTATTCATGTATGCATCTACGACAGATATCCGTAAAAGCATGGCTATTATATATCGTAATTATCCGTTTCGTAAAAGGTAAAGGTGGTCTTAGGAAGATAATGTCCGCCAAATAAAAAAAATATACACAAATATGAAAGGTGACGATCTTATTCTATTGAGTAAAAATACATATTTGCTACCACACGTGAAGTAATATTTACTTACCCTTTCAAAGCACTTGTGACCATCTCTGGTATTTTAGGGGTTCGTGTTGTTCAGTTTAGAGCCTCCTCATGGGGTTTTTGATTATGTGATTACTAAGCCGTTTTTATAGTGATTATTTGATTACCAGACAAAATATTTCATGATTATTTAATAATTTGATAATCTAGGACTGTATTTGATTATCTTCTTTAAAAAAATAATTAATGATCATGTGATTATATTGGCAAAACAATTGTCATTATGTGATTACTTGGACACCCCCATGAGGGGCCTCAGTTTATAGTTTTTGTATGTAGTGTTTTGTTGACTATTATTTGACGTCGTGTTTTGCCATGATTTTTTCAGTTTCTCTTTCTCAAACTTATTCCTCGACCAAAAAAGAAAAGATGCAACTTCTTTCCGTTTCCGTTCCGTATTCCGTTTCCGCCGTTTAGCAACACCCGTTTTTGATTCTCCCTTTGGTATCTTTCGAATCTTTTTTTATGGAATTATTCTGAAATTATATTTGTGCTGCATTTATAGGCACACAAGAAGATAAGGGTAACACGTTAATAAGACATCAACCATACGACAGATAATACCAACAAAAAACTTTGAAAAGAACAACATGAGATATCGGGTATACGTCAATGAGACACAAACCAATGAAAATATAACCAAAAGACATATAAAGAGCAACATCGTCTTCAAAAATAGCACTATAAAATCTTCATGAATATAGATCTGAAAATTAATTAGATTATGGGCAACATGAACCCAACCGAAACCTTGGATGAACTCATTGTGTTCTGAGAGACTAACAGTTCCAGCTTCACTGTGGGCACATGTCTTGTTGCTCATGACAGGTTAAATAAGGTGATCTGTCCCATTTCATTATGCAACAATCGAGGGAAAGAGGACGAGATTGTGGCTGTGATAGGCTACTAGAAGTGGTACATACCTGAGGTCATCTGTGACATATATTTTACATAACGGTAAACCAAAATAATCTTTGGGTTCGTAAAGGATTTAACGACCGAGATGACTTTAACAGTACCATTAAATACTTTTGGTTCAAGAGATTCCTTGATAGCAGCCACCTTCTATCAATAAAGTTATGATAAGAAATACAAGCCCTTAAATATCATAACAACTAGGAGATACCGTATATGTGAATCATATGTTTGCCTGCTAAAATATTTCTACAAAGAAATGGAAAGTTCACAATATGAAAATTGAAATCATATCTCTTATCGTGAAGACTAATGTCGGACCGACCCTCATTGTCAATATTTAGCCGCAAGTCAGAATATGAAGGATTATTAATTGTATCCGCGGTATTCTTTATTACAAGTTCAATGGGATACAAACTATCAACCCAGTGTACAAACTTTGAATCTTTTAGTAAAGGATGTTATCTTTATAGCGGCACACGAATTTAAAACCATTGTGCTAATTTCTGTTTATACTTCTTTGTGACCTTAAAAAGTCTGCTTAATACCAAATATAACGTAAGTCGGCGAAAAATAGAGCACAATTGGTACCCCAAAGAATGTCGACTGCCTTTTTTAAAACATATTAATCAAACAGAAAAAAATATTATGCCAATAAAAAAATCAAGCATATAGAAAATGCCCGTTTTCGAGAGCTTTATATTTGAATCAGAGTGAGTTTATACTTTATATATATATGTATAAATTGTTCCCTCCTAAAGCAAGCTATTTGTAATGCTCTACATAACTTTGAGTCTAAAAAAACTTTTTAATAAATTCATCCGGTTATCTAAGATTTGCCATCAACACCGAATTCCTCAACTTAAAAAAAAAATAATATAAATACCCAGAAAAACAGCAATCTTTGAGATTCCTGGTTTGGGACCGGCATCTGAATATGTGGCATAGTTAAAGTATTTGTATTCTAGATTTCGACTTTCCCCCTTTTTAATGTCAGTCAGGGAACTATACAAAAGGTATATACAGTTTGTATAACTAAAACCAATGCAGGAAACGCGTTTAACTCTATAAAACCGATGGTATATGTTTTCCCCCACCCCCATGTTTACGAGGCGGACTCTGCAATTGAGTGTAATTCACGCGGGCGTATCTAAAACAGGCACTCCTTTGGCCAAAAGTAAAAGTCCCGGAAAAACGGCAAAGTTCAAAACATAGGGCTGTGCGGCATATGTTCAACATTTATATGCCTCGAACTTATAAGAGTTTTAAATTATACTAAATTTATGTACAACCCCTGCCTTCACTTTAGGTTTCTCTCAGAATTCAATTTGGCCGCTATCAATGTGTATTTATACTGGTAAAATTCCCAAGTAGTGTCTCTACGAGATGAAACATAGAGCTCATATCTGGGAACCAGTAGATAAACAAATCAAAATATCTATGAATATTATGTATCTCCCCAAAAGAGACGTGGTTTGTGAAACAGCAGTGCTTACAAAGTGCAACCTACAACATGTATTAAGAAGTAAAAAATGAAAGATTTTTTGTCTGAACCTTTTGAATCATCATTTCCCTCCTGTAACAAATAGTATATAATCATTCCTTCCGTTTGAACATTTGAATTGTAATGTATTGTATTCATATTTGTATCATGTAGGCCTAAAACATTTGTACAGCTATCACATTCATATATTTTCAATTAAAATAAGACCACACCAATTTGATTAATAGTTCTTCAGACAAAAGCTCCAAAAAATATGGGGCGAGCGAGCGAAATTTTTTTGTTTTTATACATTTCTTGAAAATTTGTTTTTTTGAGGCGAGTGCTCTACAAGTGAAGCGAGCGGTATAATTTTTTTTTAAATTGTGTGATTTAGAAGTTGTACAATTTATGTACATGTTATAACTGTGTTAATTCATTGAAAAACAAGGAGCAACAGATGCTCTAATGCATATAATTTGATCTATTGGTGCCTGTACCATATCAGACTTTCTTGTCTCACTATGGTTTAGTTAATTTTGGTCATTTTCTTCAAGTAAGCTTTGTCTATGTGAATTTTCATTTAAATCCATATATATATTTAGGAAACATAGCAGATCCAGTTTTACAAGAGGAAGTATGTTAGTTAGGTAAATGACACATGTTGAATAAAATTAAAATATGTGTATGTACCAATAAAAAATGCCCCTGAAAGATATTTGATAGTTTTCAATATATGGTAATGATTGTTTATTGTTGTAGTTCAGTGTTTCTGTTGTTCCGTTGTTTTCCTCTTATAGTTGATGTGTTTCCCTCGGTTTTAGTTTGTTACCCGGATTTGTTCTTGCTTAATCGAATTATGACTACTGAACAGCGGTATACTACTGTTACCTTTATTCATTGGCTGCTTGACATCCAATTGGAACTATGTATGCATATTTAGGATCAAAATAATGAGTGAGGTGAATATTTCTTGCTTTGTACTAAAACAACATCCTGAGTAAGATAGTTATAATGCTATACATGTAGATTCAAATGTATTAAACTATTCCCTTTAAATACCTGTCACCCCATTCACATGCACTTTTCTTACTGAGCAAAATACTCTTTCCTTTTGCTCCTAAAAGCTGTAATGCATTTAAAACTCTTTAGCTTGACTAGAAGTGGTGGAACTAATTACACACCCTAATTATTATGAGCATGCCAATCACAATACGGCATCACCTTGGTCTCGTTGGAACTCTTTAATTATTAGACTTTAAATTAATTCCCCCCAACAAAAGAAGAGTTTTGCTTGCATGCCAATTCTGTTAATTTTTAAAAAGCTCATGGGAATTTACAATTCATTTCATCCAAAAAAAATATATATAGGTCTATGCCTGTTGAAATAAGGATTTTGGTTGACATATGCAACTATTCCAGTCATAGTTACGTTCGATAACTCTGCATGTTACTGGTTTAATAAAAAA